GATTAAATTTTAATTCTCTCTAGCGTTTGGTATGGTATTGTATAAGATAATATTTTTTAATATTTTAAAAATTAATATATATTAAAAAAATTATTTTAATATATTAATATTGAAATGATATATTAGTTCTTGAGAATTGTAATTTTAAGCAATATTAATACATTAACCCATTATCCACCCCTTTAGGCCGGATTAAGTTATACATCATTTTGATATATTAAGGGGTTATACTGTATAAACTTATACTATACTATGGCCACACCAAACAACTGAAAATGTTATAACGTATAGTATAAGCTTATACTATCAAGTCTTATACGTTACACCAAACAGGTCCTAAGAGACTTTTTTAGATGTAGAAAATTTAACTCACCTGCAAAATATAACTTTCACCACATAATCATATGTGCCCACACTTTTCCCCTTGACTCTTAGCCTACAAATGAGAGAAATTTTTAGTGTGCTCTAGGATCATTGTGGTCCTTTCATTCAAAAATTAACACCTATAGTAATTTTTTTTTTATTCTCTCTCCTCAACTTTTTCTCTCATTTCAGTCTCACCAAATTTTTTTTGGTCCAGACCACTGTAAATTCGCTCATGGATGAGATATTATTTTTATCTTTTAAACTTTTTTTGAAAATATTCCAATCGGTTCATTGTTTCGCAACTAATCCGATTCGGGGCGTGTCTAGGATTGATGCTTTATACTCCTCCCAAAAGTGGTACTGGAAAGATTCGAACACATGCTCCCATCCCCACCTGCTTAGCTCCCATGCGCCAACTGAGCTACCACCGTTTGGTTATCTTTTAAACTTTGATCTACATCATTATATTAAAATATTTCATCCTACTGAGGGAAACAGACCATCTAATTCGCCCTTTTTTGTCTCCCTCTAATACCTTTTGTCTCAAACATAAATACGAAGTAACATGAAATATGTAGTAAATTGAAATAGCTAGTTCTTCTTTTTGTTTTTTTGTTTTTTAAAAACTTATTAAAACGATGTTTTGTGGATCAGTTGCACTGCAGCCTTGTTCATTCGTGTTGAATTTCATTAATTCCTATTACTGACAAGTAGCATTGTTCATTAATCAAAATTTAAAAAATTCTTACTCAATGGATACAGTTCAGTTGGCAATACTGCAAAATAGGTGAAGAAAAAATTTAGATTCAATTCCCAGCAAATGTATTTTTGGAGAGTAACAAAGAATTTTAATGCATGAAGCTAACTCGTTCTAAGACGTAATTAAGATTGGGCAAAAAAAATAAAATAAAATCTTTTAAATGCACTATGTTAATGGAAGATGTATACCAATCAATCATGCACTTTTGACAACAATCACGTTTAAGATGGACCCTGAGATTTCAAATTCACCAGTATCTTAACGTATAATCCTCGGCCTTCGCTTGAAACATTGAAAATAATAATAAACAAATAAATTCTGAATCTACTTTTATATATTAAGACATCGCCCAAAAAAAAAATACTAATTATTAATCCACTTTTATCATTCAATTAGAATATATGTTCTCAATAATAATATATTTTCCAGTCTATTATTTCTAAAAAAAGTAACACATATCATTCTTAACTATTTTTATTTTACATTAATTATATTTTTTATAATTCTAATATTTTCTCTTCTAATCTTTAATTTTTTTTAAATAATTATATATATATTAATTATAATTTTAAGAAATTTCTTTTACTATTATATATGTTTTACATAAATTTAACAATACCCATGTAATGCACCATCGCATCATTGCTATTTCGTCAAATTATTATCTCACATTCTTGTTCTTTGTTTGAAAGGTCGCCCAAAATATAATGCAAGTCGGTTGGCGCATCGACTTCTTACAATGAGGTAATGGTTTGAATTTCAGATGAGAAAATCTAAGCCCTGAATCCAATGAAAGTTAAATTCAATAGACGTTCTTTGTTCTAAGAGTAAGCGTAAACTTTTAAAACAAGAGAATACTATTTATTTATTATATATACGAACCACACCTGGATTTATTTTAGAGTTTTTATCCTAAGGTGAATATATTATAAAAAATTAATTAACCCAAAAATTTAAACGGATGGGTGAAGGCTAAATTTTTAGTTTATTTTGTGTTTTACTTAATTTCACTAAAAAATGGAGAGTGCTGAGAATGAACTCATGATTTCATGATTCCTGAATCTATGATATCATATAAAAAATAATTTTAACTCTAAAACTTAATTGTTGGATAAGAACTTTTTTAATCATTTATATTATTTACTAAGATATATATCTTGATGATGGAGATATTTGCTTAACACATGGCTTGAAAACTTGATTTTCCTTATCATTTTTTTCCATGGATGAGATCATGAGATAATAATGAGATTTAAATTTGATTTGGAAAAGTTTTTCCACACTATTGTTAAGTCATTGATATATATATATATATATATATATATATATATGGAAAAGTGTTTGTCATTTTAAATGACAGAAAGTTATGTCATTTTAAGAGAGATACAAACACAAAAAAATTAAATTTTAAATTAAAAAAAACCACTCACTTTCTCTCTCCCATGATTTCCGTTTTTCTGAGAGTATCTCTCTCCTAAAATGACATAACTTATGTCATTTAAAATGACAAGAATCAAACCCATATATATATATATATATATATATATATATATATATATATATATATATATATATGAGATATGATCCTATATAGGGATAGGATCATTTGACACCAGTGTCATCTGAGAGTCGTTAGATAAAAAAAGATCAATGACTCTGATTGGTAAGCATGTGACATTATTGATCTTTTTTGATTTAATGACTTTCAGATGAGGTATCAAACTTTAAATTTGACACCGGTGTCAAATTTAAAGTTTGACACTTCACTGAGAGCCGTTAAATAAAAAAAGATCAATAACTCTGATTGTAAGCATGTGACACTATTGATCTTTTTTGATCTAATAAGTACATATTCGAGCATCATTGACCAACTCCTTGTCAATTTTGATTCATTTCAATATGAATAACAATTCAACGTATTAAATTAACTTAAAGAATATAACAAGTCTGGAACAAAATAATATTTCAGATGAAGTGTCAAACTTTAAATTTGACACCAATGTCAAATAATATAACAGATGGGTTGGTTACCATGATCAAGTCATGGGATTTTCTGAGCCTTTTGGATTCTATCACAATGCCAAGAGACCCACAAGGTAAAATTTAATCAGTGTCAATATTATATTATTTTAAAAAACTCAACTCATACTAAGGATGTACCATCATTTTTGAAGAAAATCGATACTATTTTTAAAAATTAACTGATGCGAAGGCACCAGCGTATAAGTGGCTCCACCACTAATTACTCATTTCCAACAAATTTATTTTAATTTGCTTTCAAACTTCAATTTCTATTTTACACGTAGAATGGTCAATAAAACCTCATTGTGCTTTATTAATAATACAGTTAGTTTCATTAAGTCATTGAGAATACAGTGAGACTTGAATAATTTATATATGATTACAGATTCACACTTTGGTATCATCATTATATTTAAAAAACAAAAATATCACATATCTAAAGTCAAAATTTAACATTTTTTTTTTCCTAATCAACGGTGGAGCATCATTTTCTCATGCCATGTAATAGAAATAATATCACAAGTGGTATTTATAGACAAAAGGAAAAAGAAAAAATGAAGGCAATACTCACTTGAGATTTGTGTATATAAAAACTTAACTTCTCCCATATGACACGAGAGAAATATAACCCTAAATGAAAACAACCAAAAAACAGGAAATTAAAGATGAGCCTTCTCTCTATCCAAAAAAAAAGAAAAGGGATGAACCTTCATCCGCATATAATGTACTGTTTGTATTGTTCATCCAAACCACCTGATGGCATCTCTTGAAGCCAAAACCTAAGGCAATTGGAAAGCATGTTGTAAAGAACTAATTCAACCCAAAACTCCAAAAGTTTAAATTGTTGGGTGAGACTACATTAATGGTTTTATATATCTCAACACGTTCTTTCATATGAGAGCCCACTGGACTTTTAAGGGTGGACAATACACAGGCCCACCTACCTGTGCGAACAAAGAAATTTCACTTGAAAAAAAGTGAGGGAGAATCGAACCCGGGACACGAGGCTCTAATATCATGTAAAGAACCTTGGGATACACCACCCCTAAAGCTAGCTCAAAGGGTGGGAGTGCCCAAAGCCTTATAAACTCCACATTAGTTGCTCATACAACCAATGTGGGATTATATATCTCAACACGCCCCTTCGCACAAGAGCTCATTGCGCTTGAAGAGTAGATGATGCAACAGACCCAGCCTACCTGTGCTAAGAAATTCCACAAGAGAAAGTGAAGGACGGCGAGGTTTGAACTTGGTACACCGAAGTTCTGATACCATGTAAAGAACCAATTCAACCCAAAAGCTTAAGCTGTTGGGTGAGGCTACATTAATGGTTTTATATATATCAAAACAGGTAAAAATAAATGACCCCCGAGAAAATATATTATTGCATCGAGTACCTCCACAACTTCATGTATCTTCATTTAAGCTATGGAAAAAGGCTTCTTCCTTTTAGGTAAACACGCCATTCAGATACGAGACAAAACTAAAGCAATATCATACTTCCATTGTAGTCCAAAATCCCTTTTAAGGGATACAATGCGACTTCTATTAATCATAGTGAGAAAGAACGCGTCAGGACAAATAACATCAGGTATAATGCCAATTCCCATCAATCTTTGGCTATGTACACTAATAACCCCTTACATATCACACGCACAATTGGAATCTGAGGATCATAAAAGGGCACAATTTGTGCCTGCTTTCTAACAAAACCATAACAATGAAGCTTTGTAGTTGAATTGCCACAAAAATTAATCTAAATCAAATGCCGAATAGATCATTAATGAACATCACAATATTACAGGCCAGCCCTGCTGTAACAGAGAAACAACGAAGAAGATCTATCTCAACATAGTAGTCAATTTATTTACAGAAATAAAATTTATTAATGAAACAAAAAGTACTTGTTACAACAGATATTCATTCATTCTCTAATCACACCCATTTCACATAACATACAAAAAGGAACAAAAACTTAAAACTTGACCCTCTCTGGGCATCAAACGCAATTACAGTTACCATAAAATTCACTCTTCCATATCTTCGTCATCAATTTCTTCAATCTTCATCTTCTTGACAGCCTGAGCACTAGCAGCATCAGGATTGGGTCCATTAGGAATCTGAATCAAAATATCTGACTTCTGCCCAGTTGCAGGATTAACAATCCCTCCATTATTTTCAACACGATAGACCAATTCGGTGCCCTTAGGCCCAGCATCTATGTACACTGTTGAATTCTCATCAATTTCCTCCTTTACAAGCATTCTAGAGAGTTCTGTGACCACCTTCCTCTCAAGCCATCTCCTAATTGGTCTAGCACCATACACCTGCAAGTAACAAAAAGATTTTTAAGTACTAGTCATTAACATATTATTGCATCATATACTAAAACAAGATGCTGTAATGATATTGATACCTACCGGATCATAGCTCTCACTAAGTATATAGTCAAGTGCTGCATCTGTCACTGCCATGGCAATCCCTCTCTCAGCAAGACGACTAGCAACATCTTTCATTTGCAACCTTGCAACCTTCATCAATTGCTCATGTGAAAGAGGATCAAATACCACAATTTCATCGAGTCGATTCAACAATTCAGGCCTGAAATGTCTTCTTACCTGTTTAAGTAAATTATATACAAATATATTATTAGTATGAAAAACCACAAACACATTTATCATAGCATATTAATATAAGCCTTCAAAAGATACCTCCTGCATTACTCTATCCCGAGCAACTTGCATGGTACATTTTCCGGAAAGTCCACTTAGGAGGTGTTCAGCTCCGAGGTTTGAGGTCATAATAATGACAGTGTTTCTAAAGTCCACAGTACGGCCTTGTCCGTCAGTTAATCTTCCATCATCTAAAACTTGGAGAAGAGTATTGAACACAGATGTATGAGCCTTTTCCACTTCATCAAAGAGTACCACACTATAAGGCCTTCGCCTTACAGCTTCAGTTAACTGACCACCTTCCTCATGTCCAACATACCTGAAAAATTCAATACACAGAGTGAGATATAATGCTTACAACCAAAATAAATAACAATCAGCACAAGTTCACTTGCAATAGCAATCCACTTACCCTGGAGGTGCTCCAATCAATCGTGAAACAGAGTGTTGTTCCATGTATTCGGACATGTCAATTCTCACCAACTGATTTTCATTGTCAAAGAGTTGTTCAGCAAGAGCTTTTGCAAGCTCAGTTTTACCAACACCAGTTGGACCCAAAAACAGGAATGAACCAGTTGGTTGTTGAGGTCTACCTAGACCAGCTCTTGATCTCAATACAGCCTCAGCAACAGCATTAACAGCTTGATCTTGTCCTACAACTCTGTTGTGCAATCTGTCACCAAGTCCAATCAACCTTTCCTTTTCATTTTGGCCAAGCCTTGTCACTGGTATACCAGTCCAGCGGCTCACAACCTCAGCTATTTGTTCTGGTCCAACAGTTTCTGTTAACATCAAGTTTTCCTCAGCGTTCCCTTCAAGCTGTTGTATTGCAGTTTCCACCTCTTGAATTGCTCCATATCGCAAGTCTGCTGCTCTGGCTAGATTATATCGTCTTTCAGCCTCTTGTAAAGCAAAGAGGAGCTGTTCTCGCTTTTGCTTGAGCCTCCGAATCTCATCAACCCTTTCTTTTTCTTTTCTGTACTTCATCATCAAAGGTTGGAGCTTGTCTCTTAAGTCATCAAGTTCTTTCCGCACCTGCACATAACCAAAAAATTTAGAACCAATGAAATTGTTTTTGTTTCGTTTTGGGGGGAATAGAAACAAAAACAAAAAGACCATTTATCAAAAAACTCAACACTGGTGAAATCAGTACTCACGTCTACAAGACGGGCTTTGCTAGCTTTGTCCTTTTCTTTCTCCAGGGCGTGAAGTTCAACCTCTAGCTGCATTCTCTTTCTTTCAAGGTTGTCAATTTCCTCAGGTTGACTATCAAGTTGAACTCTCACATTTGCACAGGCCTCATCAACTAAATCAATTGCCTTGTCAGGAAGATGACGCCCTGAACAAGCAAATAAAATATAAGTACATCATGCCAGCAAAACCACCATGTAAAGCATGCACTTTCAAAAGAGAAACAACTCAAATCAAAAGGGCAAAACACGCACACACCAAAAGAGTACCGAATACATACCAGTAATGTACCGACTAGACAACTGAGCAGCTACAACCAGAGCACGGTCCAGAATTCGAACACCATGATGACCTTCATATCGCTCTTTCAGCCCACGAAGGATACTAATGGTGTCAACCACACTGGGTTCAGCCACATAAACCTGTTGGAACCTTCTTTCAAATGCAGCATCCTTCTCTACATATTTCCTATATTCCTCAAGTGTTGTGGCACCAATGCATCTAAGCTGGCCACGAGCAAGCATAGGTTTAAATAAGTTAGCAGCATCCATTGATCCTTCAGTTCTACCAGCACCAAGAACAAGATGGATTTCATCAATGAAGAGAATAACTTTCCCTTCAGCCTCCTCTACTTCTTTCAAAACTGACTTCAACCGCTCTTCAAATTCTCCCCTATACTTTGCACCAGCAACCAATGCACCCATATCCAATGCAATAAGCCTAACATCAGCAAGATTGCTAGGAACATCCCCTCTAACTATCCTTTGAGCCAAGCCTTCTACTACGGCAGTTTTACCAACTCCTGGCTCTCCTATGAGAACCGGGTTGTTCTTGGTCCTCCTCGACAAAATCCTCACAACTCTTCTTATCTCTTCATCACGTCCAATAACTGGGTCAAGCTTCCCTGCTTGCTCCACCAGGTCCCTCCCATAAGTCTTCAACGCTTGGAAAGTTGTGTCACCAGAAGCACTTTCAACCTTCTTCCCTTCCTTTCCACGAAGTTTTTCAACCTCTGATCTAACCCTGGCAGTTGCCACACCAGCTTCTTTCAACAACTCTCCAATCTGAGAATCTTCAAGTATGCCCAGAATCAATTGATCAACAGCCAAATGAGTGTCACCCCTTGACTTCTGTGCTGCCTGTGCTCTCCGAATAGCCTTAATAAGAGTAGTGCTCGCTGGTATCTCATCCGGAGGAGGAGATTGACAAGGCAACTTCTTCAACGCCTGATTCAAAACTCTCTCTGCAGCACGTGCAGATTCTTCACCACCGGCATTGGAAATTGCTTGGAAGAAAATGCCATTGGGATCAGAAATCAGAGCGGATGCAAGGTGAAGCGGAGTGAATTGTGCATGTCCAGCACTCATTGCCAGCTCATGAGCCCCAGCAAGAGCCTCATTGGTTTTGTGGGTGAACTTGTCAGGATTCATTTACAACCTGCATTAAACAAAAAAAAATTAAAAAAAAGAACTTGACCACACCATCATAAGCTTTTGAAACACAAAACACAACCCAGTATTTGGGAACTCTGACTCTAATGAAAAGTCAAAAAATCCAAAGATCCCAGCAATTAAAAAACCTTTGTATCTAATTGGACTCGAAGCTTGTCATAGCACTGTTTTCAACACTTCAAATGCCAACCTAATATTTTCGTTATATTAAAGCATAAGTTTCAACACAAAACCTATGCTTACACAAAGTTAACAGAAATAAAAGCCATCCGTTACAAATCCTAAATCATAATAAGACTAAAATCACAACTTCTGTCCAAAATTAAGACCACCAGAAAACAGAGCAAGCCGTGGAAGGAAGAACAAAACATAACAAGAGTTCCACGTACCTTCGGTTGCGAAAGACAAAAGCGAGGCTTGGTGAGAATGGGAGAAAGAAGAAAACCTTGAAAGCAAGTGAGTGAACGTTTAACAACGCCTTGATCGAATGAAGCGAGTGAGGATTGGAAAAAAGAAAATGCTTAGAATTGCGTAAATGTTGGTAAGGGCGTAAGAAAGAGTGTGTTTGGTAATGAACGTTTCTGTGTAAATGAAAGTGAAGCGGTGAGGAAGAAAGAAAGGCGTGCGTATTTGTTAACGGAGAAGATGCATCTAAATGCTTCTCGACTGTTCCAAGTGGGATGCTGAAGAAACTCCTAGACTTTTCCATTCTCTTCTCGTTTTTTCTCTTCTTTTTCCCATCATCAACCATAATCATTTTTTTTAAATCCACTAGCGTGGGCCATCCATGTAGAAATTAATAACTAGTTATTGTGTTTCTCTTATTTAAATAATTTGAGTGGATTAAATTAATTAATAATTTTTTTTTTTTTTGGAGTTATCCGATCCTAATTATCTCTTTGAGACGAGTTGGCTCCCTCCGGTATCTCCACGAGCTTCGACTCTTTGAGCCGGCTATGAGACTAATCCGGAGTACGGGGGACAGTGATGGCTAAAGGTTCAGCCCCTCCCCAAGAATGCATTCGGGAATCGAACACATATCCAATCTCACTAACTCAACGTCAAGTTACCAACTGAGCTGCACCCATTGGGTAAATTAATTAATAACTAACATAATATGATTCAGTTATAAAATGATTATCCGATCTAAGAGTTTTATAATTATTTATGTATCTAGTTACATAGTAATAATGATTTCGTTAAAATTATGCAAGTATTAACAATATCAGTTCGAAGAAGGGTGCCTAATTGGAGGTATTGGATTAGAATTTTAAAAGAATATTTTAAGATAAAATTATTTTATAGATTTTAAAAGATTATTTAGAATTGTAGTGATTATAAAGACTTTTTTCCATTAGAATTTTATAAGATTGAATTATAAATAATTTTAATAGAATTTATAAGATTTTAAAAAAGGATTCCTGTCAATATAGATAACTTATCTACATTGAGCTCAAAACGAAGTTGTTTTGGGACGAAAATTAAGGTATTTTTGTAATTATAATTTATTTCGGAGTTATAATAGTCTTTCTCATTATAATTTTTAATCAAAATGACGTTGTTTTAAGAGTGAATGTAGATAACTTATCTAAATTCACTGTAAAAATATTAAATCCTTTAAAAAATTATATGAATTTTTAACAAACATTCAAAATTACAAGAGTTAATAAAAAAATAACAAAGAAATGCAATAATATTAATTAAAAGAAGTAAAATTTAATATAATTTTCTCAATTAGTAATTTGATATAACTTGATATCCTACTAAACACCAGCTCTTCACAAGAATTTATATTGTTTATTATGACTTGAGAAATATTTATCGGCAATATACTGTTTGTGCAATTTCTAAACAGTATAAATATTGGGTTTATAGATGAAAAAGTAATAGCATGGCACCGGTTATATAACCCATGGGTACTCACCAACCCAATCTAACAAATCTGAATGATTATATAATATTTATCAATTTCAAAGTAGTAAACCAAACCAACGTTAAATAGCTCAATAAACAAATAATAATAATAAAAAGAATTGAATAAGCTAATGATTATGTTGAGAGAGAAAAAAAAAACTATGCTTCCAAAAAAATCGAAAACCACTAAAAAAATTTCAATCCTTTAAAATGTTAATTGAATAAATTTTTTTGTCTAAAAATAATTCATTAAAATTCTTTCAAATCATTTATTAAAAAAATTCTTAAAAATTTCAATCCAATACACCTCCTAAACATGCTCAGTGCCTAAAGTTTATTTGCTTGTGCTTTTTTCTATTTTTTTTGAAAAAATTGAATGCCTTTGTATTATACTTATTGGGCTAATTCTGGGATTTGAGTGAACTGAGAACATAATATTTAAAGTTTGAGGCCTAACCCAGTTGAATGTCAAGAGAATAGATTGAGAACTCATCAATATATACATAGGTTGACTCCAAAAAAGTGATATATCATATCAGAGATCTCTTTTGTTATTTAATATAATCATATAATGTAAGAGGATCTTAATCACTGATAAAAGGTGATAATTTTGTAACTTCCTATTCTTATATTTTTTGCTTCGTGTCTCTTATCATTATTAAACTACCCTTATTTGATTTGACATAGTCATTTTTTTTTTTTTGATATAATAAGGAAAAGAAAGCAAACTAAAAACTAAGACAGACGGGCACAAAGTCTAGGCCAATGGATTCTCAATTAGTCACTCAACAAGCGAAACAAACATCCTGGAGGAGGAATCTCCAACAACTGGACATGTGGACATGTCAAGCGAAATTACTTGATATTGCCGCCAACCAATCAGCCACACCATTTTCTTCACAATGGACATGCGAAATGAAAACATTCCAATCCTTGGAAAGCATTCCTCTGATGCGCAATATCAGCCTAAAATATGGGTGAGGAGAATTACACCCCTTAAGAATTAGCTGTTGAGCTAATTGAGAGTCACCTTCTAGCCACATATTCCTAAAACCTTTTATCCAAGCCACCTTCAACACTACTAGAGTCGCCTAAAGCTCAGCATTCAGAGTCATTCCACTTCCCAAGTTCTTACAAAACCCAACAATCCACCCACCCGAACTATCTCGGAGGACACCCACACAACTCGAGTATAAGCCATCTCCAGAATTAGCTCCGTCAACGTTAATCTTGGTCCAATTCAGAGGAGGAAAAGTCCAAGCTATAAGTCTTTCCGTTCTAGAGTGTGGCCTCATTCCCGTTGTAATGGTCAAATTTCAAAAAAAAATTAAAATTAAAATTAAAAATTTTTCTATGCTCCCAGCGCCAAGGCAGTGCTCATTGTGCCCAAAATTGAGGCATTGAGCGCTGTACAAGCGCAATTAGCTTGGATATGTATATACATATATAATTACTTATATATATATATATTAATTGTAAAATAATTATTAAATAATAAAATATAAATAAATAATAAATATAAAGCAATATAATAAAAAATTAAAATATTAAAGTAATATATATATATATATAAGTATATATATGCAGAACAAAGTAATAAATTGAAAATAAATGGCAGAAACTAAAAATGCTAAGTGATAACAGCCCACATCTCCAGCCTATGATGCACGGACACGGACACGGGACACGGGACACGACACGCCGACACGTTAATTCTAAAAAATGTCATATTTCGACATGTTGGGACACGTTTTGATATTAAATAATTTTTTTAATATATATAATATAATTTGTATTAAATACATATAAAAGTGTATAATAATTCATATAACTAATCAAATATTTAAATTTCATAACATAAATATAAATATAAATAATTTTTCGTACTTTGTTAAATTTTCATGTCAAATTTCATAACAGAAAAAAATTAATTTATAAATTATTTATTTTATATTTAGTTAAAGTAATAAAATTAAGATTTAAAAAAAAAATAAAAAATAAAAATAAAAACGTGTCCGAGCGTTGACCGCGTGTCCGAAAAAGTTGACTACGTGTCGGAAAAATGTGTCAGAACGTGTCAGAGAGTTGACCGCGTGTCCCCAAATGTTGACCGCGTGTCGGACGCGTGTCCGAGCGTGTCCGTGTCGGACGCGTGTCCGAGCGTGTCCGTGTCGGACACGTAAATTTTCAAAAAAATCACGTGTCCGTGCTATGGAGTCTGCAGCACAATGAAAGTATAGGACTCTTTTAACAAATTAATCATTAGATGAGATAGATATTATCTAGGAAAAGAAGAGATTACGTAATATAAGTTTACGTAATCTGTACACATAATACATTCCTCTCTATATAAATATGTCCCTGCATACAATGAAAGGAAGAAAATCAAAGACAGAGATTAAAAAAGAACATAAGGAAATCTTAAGAGAGAAAAACAAGAGAAATCGGGAGTAGAAAGGGAAACAGAATCAAAAGAAGGTAATATTGGGTTATCAAAAACGTTCTCTCGTTCTTTTTAATTTTTCAAAACAAAGATTAATTTACAAGCCAATGTCGTTTTGCCAAACTTTTCTCATTATTTATTCTTTACAATAGTTTGATTTCGTTCAATGATTTCATTTCTTACAGTATCTTTAGTTTCTTTAAAATTTTATTTCTTTTCACATACTGATTATCTAGTGGAGTAATTAATTGGTACCAAATAATTATGAAGAGAATGTGTAAATTTAACTAATGAAGACTGCTATGAACTGAACCCCAGAGTTTAGGTTCAAACGATTATAGGGTAAGGGACGTCTTATCGTGACTTGAGCTCCTCCACAATAAATATTTCATATGCAGAGAACTGCAAAGTTGGAAAAATATTTAGCTTCATTTAAATATTACACAATGCATTATTTATTATATTACTTCATTTTACTAAATTATCTGAGAGAATGGTATTTTCCGTTATTACGGCTGAAAATTGTTATAGTTAGAAAACCTCAATATTACTGAGAATTTTCTCACGTGTGTTTTTTTTTTTTATGCTAACCTTTCTAAAGAATCATAATGCCTAGTCTAAGCTTATCAGGTGAAGGATGGAGTATCAATGTTTACTCTTACGAGGATCGCATGGAGTTCTATATTGTAGTAGGAAATCAAGGAGCTGCTGCAATATTTTATGCTTAAAGTGTTGAGACCTACACTTATAGATTAGATTAGGATATGACTTTAGTATTGTATAATTATGTGATGCCAGGATGTAAAATATAAGTTAAAGTGATGTAATATATAGTAGAAGGTAGGACCCATGTAAAATAATTTTCGTATGTACCTGATTTGATATTATGTATAAAGTAAGGGTTTTATAATTCTCATGTTGAAGGAGAATTGAAATCTCTTGTTGTAGAGATAAAAAGCATGTGGGACCCATGTGTTAGAAAAAATTATATGTAGGACACATGTCAGCACGAAAATCGAAGGGTGGGTAGGAAAATTGTAATTCTCATGTTAAATGAGAATTATAAAACCCATAAAGTAATATTGATAGATGTTTATATAGTCTTTTTTTTCTTATCATCAATATTAAAATTTAATAAATCAATCTATATTAATTAATAACATTAATACATCTCCATTTTATATCTTACTGTTTATACATAAAGAGAAACATAAATTTAAAGAAATCATGTAATATTACTTGGGATAGGATATTGTGACACCCAAGTTATGTGACACCCATATGACACCCAGTTAATCTCACCGTTAGATCGCTTATGTTGATCCAACGGTTATATTTATTTTCATCTTTGTATGGTCATGATTTTTCAAATTTAATATTTTATATTTATTTCTACCTTTGTATGGTTATGATTTCCCGTAATGCTTTCCATAATATTAAGGGATGTTTCACCCGTCACGACAGCCAATTTCTTTTTTTTTTTTTAACATTTCGACAGCCAATTTCTAGCCTGCAGGACATTATCCTTGTAACCCAGCGCAGCTCTCATCATGCTCTCCGAGTTACACACGAAGTCGTTAAAGATCATGTCATTTCTAGCAAAGCCAAAGGAACCAAGTAGTGATGCCGAAACGAAGCTTCCAATGGGGATCTCTATTCCAGCAATTAGTAGCTTCCACATTCCTCAAGAACCAATCGTGGATATTCAGCTCCAAGAACTCCTCCTAATGGTTGCTATCTATAAGCAGCCTCCAAACCCCTAGGGAAACTTTACAATCTCTGATGGCGTGAATAGTTGTCTCACTAGCATGGTGACATCTCGGACAAAGCTCATTATCAGCCAATCTGCAATGGAATATCCTCGAATTTGTCATTAGCTTCTCCCCCATCGCTAGCCAAAGGAAACGTCTCCAAATAGTCATCCAAGGAAATGAACCATTGGTATCCTCGTAGCTACTTAGAACCTTATAGGCCATTCTTAACTGAAAAAAAAATCCCATATGAGGATTTGCTCCAAATAACACGGTCAGGAACGTCCAACGGAAGAGGGGGATCATGTTCATGAAGCTTTGTGGGTTAAATTTTCAAATAATAAGAGTGTATCATGTCAGTGGCGGACCTGTTTGGTCGCCCATGTCCGCACTTGCGCCGACATGAATCCATGGAATTTTTTTTTTTTAAACATAATAGTAAAGCATGATTTGATTAGATTAGGCTTTACTTAGATATATAATGAGAAATAGAATGTAAATAAATGGAATACGGTAAGATGAAATGAGATGTCATATATTTTATTGGATATTTTATGATGCTATATAATAAATCAAATTGATTAAAAAAAAAAGTGTTGGAAATAATTTTTTATGTTAAGTTAAAAAAAATTTCTTTTCTTATTTATGTTTTTTGTTTTTTATTTTTTATTTTTTAATACATTTAAATTTTTCTTTAAAAAAAAATTTCGGAGGTACTGCCTCCGAACCCGGTCATTAAATGTGCGGACATAAATAATATTTTCTGAGCCTGCCACTGTATCATGTGATAATTAAAATGACTTCATAAACACTGTCTCCATGTACATTGTTTATTTTCAATCCCAATTGAAAGCTCCTGAATAAAAGAGAAAATAAAAAGGATAACTTCACTTGAACAGCACAGCAAAATTCATTGCTATCCTTCCTAGATCAAATTAACCCCGTTTATCAATCAAGCATACAGGCGAAAGAAAAAAAAATAAAAAAATTGAAGGGAACAACCATTCAGATAGCACATTAAAATAACAACCAATATATTTACCAAAAAAAAAATAAATAACAACCAATAACAAAACACAGCGATAAATAAATCACTGAAAATCTGATGGCGCATTTCATCACAAGAACATAATAACAACGCTCAAGTTTGCATTGAAGGCTAAGGTTAGTCACTATTAAAATCTGGCTTGAAGAAATTCATTCCTCGTCACTATCGTAAACCACTGCCATTCGCCGTTTGACTGTTGTTGTTTTCCTAGATGGAGAGTCCTCATCTGATTCAAATCCCTTCCTTTTGACACTGCCTCTAAACTGCTTACTCTTTTGCTTTGGTTCCTGCAATTAGACATTCAAACAGCATTGAAACAACAGCAATTAATCCAGTTATGGTTCATTAATTTATAATTTTGATAAACGACAACAAATAGGGCGCAATTAGCCCAATAGATATGTACAATTCTCAGAGTTTGGGGGTTCGAGAGCTAACCCTATAAGTTCAACCCCTAAAAAACCCTAAAAAAAGAGGATACCCAATATATTGACTCAATTAAATGGTGAACTAATCCAAGCCAGTATTTTCCTTCCAATGTTCTGAATATATTGACGAAAGCATATATAAGGATTCAAATCACTGTTGAAGAATCTCAGGCTCCCAAACACAAGGTCCCCAACCTCTTCAAGCAGCATTTTCAAAGTTTAATCAAGACAATGTACCATTATTCCTTTTGGCAGCCTAAGGAGACTGCAGACCATAACGTAGAAAATTTGCCCACAAAAGATATACACGTAATAAGCAGTAAGCCATCCTCCCCAGTCCCAAAACAATGTACGAGCATAGAGAAGACAGAAATAAAGAAAATAGCCCATTAAACAGAAATTCAAATAGTCTCGCAGTCATGAACCCATAAACAGTAACACAGGATGGCAACAGTGATAAATGAGGAAAAACTAGAAAAGCTACCAAATTATGTCAACCAATTTATATGTTAATCACATATAAACCCTTATACACTATTAACAGTCATGACATATTAGAAGCAATATGAAACTAAAAAATCTCTATGGTCAAATTTAAAGCAAACAATTTTTTTAATAAAGTAATAATACCTCCTCTTCCTCCTCCTCCTCATCTGATGAATCATTAACTTGTGCCTCTTCTTCATAATGTTCTTCTTCTTCCTCACCCTCGTACTCTGGCTCAGTATCTTCCCTTTTATGTGAAAGAGGCCTCTCATCTTCCTCCCCATCAGTTTCATACTCAGATTCCTCTCTATCATCATCTGAGTAATCCATTGGGTGCTGGGAAGATTTGGCAGGCGGCAAGGGAGATTTTCGAGGGATATCTTTGGGTCCCTGTGACTACGATTCAAAAAAGAACATTCACTGGTGGTAAAGGCAAAACACAGAAATGTAAGATTACAGAAGACTGAGTAATAATACCTTTTTAGCATTCATAATTCGTTTCTCAGCCCGAGCTTCCAGTTCCAAATCTTCCTCAAAGTGGCGTTGAGAACGACGAGAATCATAATAATCTGTTTCATCATCCTTCGGGGAGGGAAGGGAGGACATGTATAGAGCAATGGAATCAAATACAAATAAAAGACTACAATGTCATTAAAGTGAGAGGAAACAATATCTGGAAACTGTACCTCATCCAAAGCATCCTCCAAAAATCCAGGAGAAAGTTGACGCCTCCTCTCCACAGTGTGAGGATATTTCCGGTTCACCTTTTCACGTTTACGGTTAAGAAGTACATTAGCCCTGATTGTTTGACTTTCAGCCTGCAAAAACCAATAGGAAACTGGATAATGGTTATTCAGGAGACATAATATAGGCAAGTAAAAACTTGATCCAATTAATTATACCTTCTCTTTTTCCTCTTTTGCTCTCTCAGGATCAATGTCAGTAATACAATTTTTAACCTTATAAACCTTCTTATGCCTCGAGTCAACTAGAGCAGTCAGCAGCCGATGAGAATTCGATGTCAAGGAAGATGGCATAAACCTCATTTTTCTTAATAACCTTCCTTGAGATTGGAGGATTCCCTATAAGCATTTACATACGGTCCATTGAAGGGTAAGCAATCAAAAACTCATAAAGAAAACATACGGAAATATCAGAATTCACCTTCCCATGTCTGAGGAAAAGATGCGCTTGATCATGCTGTGCATCTTGCACTGACATGTCAAGAACTTCATTCCCAATTAATAACTGCAAGCTGCCATCAGACCACCTCACAAAGCGAGCATTGCTTTCATACTGAAACAACAGAAAAGTATTGTTACTTATTTTTATCAAAATTATAAATAAAAAATACTTCAGCTTCATCATGAATGATATTTTTTAATAGAGAATACATGCGATACTTCAATTGAAATTTTCCAGCATTAAAGGCTGAAGGTACAGTTAACAAAAAATAAGAACACATGCATCCATTTTGCATACATTCTGACATAAATCTGAGTAATGCAAGAGATTAATATTCACAGTCATAAGATATAGTTTCTGCACCATCTCAACATTAACAACACTTAATTCATGCTCAGGCAATTTGTGAATTCATCTTTTATAAACTAGTTAAAATTCGACTCTGCACACGCATAAGAAAACTGAAATGGCCATATTCTGTACCCATAATATTGAACCAATTCAATCTATGGTTCAAACATTACTTAAGAACCGAAAACATTCAAAGAACATAGAGCATCTTATTCCTACTTTGTATTACCAACTGTCACAGTTGAATATCACCGAAGCATTATGAAACGAGGCCCGTACAAGACTTGTTGCTAACTATCAAATAAACCTTGGTCATTTTAATTTAACCTACTCATTTGGTAGCACATACCATAAACTTCCTTAAATTTCATTTATCAATATCAAATTGAAGTCCAAATTTCATCCACCAAATCCTCACAATACCATAAACTTCCTTAAGTCTCAACCCACTAAAAAAAACCTTTTCCATCCATCTGCAGCAAAATTACATATACGATACTAGCAATAAAGGTCAGAATTTAAGCCATACAAACAAAAGAAAGTGTAAATTCCAAAATCATCAGAGAGCATTCACCTGAACTCAATATCTTAAATGCATCATAGTGCCAACTGCCAAGCTTAATATTAAAAACCAGTTTTCATAAAATACCTTAAAGTGTAAAGCTAGTAGAAAGGAATATCAGGACAAAAACGAAGGGAAATATAAGGTATTCACAAGCATATCAGCATGTTTTCCATCTCCTATCCATGACAAACTTGAACATTGTAGCTTGCAAAACAAACCATACTAGTATACAATTGCTTACAGATGTTGTGCCATCAGGATTTGTGATGGTCCTCCAGCGCACAATATTGTTCTCCAAGCGTATGCGTTTCCTAGCTCCAGTTTCATCAGTCACAAAGGTATCCTCTTCCACGTATGTTTTAGGATCAAATGGTTTTGGGTCAACACCCATAATATTAGAAACTTTAATCATGTTCATCTGTCCCAAAAAAAGTGAGGAGCTGAGCACTGAAATTCAACATTTCTTACCAGAATGCACATCATCATAAAAAATTCATTTCATTATGCAGATATGATCCCCTAAAGTGAAACCGCATATTAAACTGTATCTGCCGTGACCATGTTGTCATAATCTTAGATTGTATATGTAAAATGCCAACTCAATCCAAAACTTAAGATGTTAGGGGAAGGTAACATTAATGATTTTATATTACATTTCTCTAACACGCTTCCTCACGAAAATGTCCTAAAGATACGGTCTTGTTATCATATAAAAATTCAGACATTCACTTAGGCACCCTACATATGCCAAGTAAATAATAAAGACATAACATAAACTAAGCAAAAGAAGAATAGTATTCAAGTGCCTTTTCAGCCACTGTAAGTTAAAAGATAAGTTCATTAAAAACACAGGCATCCCACCCAAATAACAAACAAAGTTACAAACATATAAATTACAGGCAGACCTTTTCTGGAAGAGCTGGAGGTGGTCGCAGTGGAACCTCTAACTCCAACGGTGGCCCAAGTGGTTTCTCTTTAGGTTTCATCTCAAAATGTTCTTCCTCTGACTCATACTGATGATCTTCATCAGCAAGTACATCCTCTGCTCTCAGGTTTTTTTCATAGCTCCCTTCCTCTTCCACAGGATATCTCTAAGGCAGGAAATTACTTAATACCATTAATTCTTAAAATTTGGACAAATGAAATATATTGGTAATATTGGCATCTGGCACTCACATTTGAATCTTGCTCAATGTCATGCTGAACTGCATACTCCACCTCCTCCTCTTCTTCATCATCAAAATCACCAAATACATCACGAATTTCAGGAACAGAATGCAAATCAGGAATCTGATCCTTGTCATCTCTGGGTGATCCACTACCAAAAAAATGAAAATTCTCAGTCACTAAATCTTACCGCGACAGTTGTAATCATTTTTACATACCAATTCTTACATTAGGTTATCAATAATTTTCTCTATTTTATCAAGTATTTAGGTAATTTTTTACAAACAGACCAACACGACAATGCAAAAGAGGATATGCACGGACAACCCATACCAGAAAACAGACATAGACACATATTTCAATTCCTTGGTTAAATCAAATGAGTTACAGAACCCGGATATTTTAGCCTTTCCTGTGAATATGCTGGCATCTCCAATAACTAGCAAATGTAGCATCAGTAATCAATAGAAATTACTTAACCCAGAAGATGAAGCAGAAGAAAGGTATATATCATGAATTCCTCAAGAATAGAACATCCCCCCACCCACCCAAAAAATAAACAAATAAATAAACAATGCTGTGGCGACGGGGACAGATCGAAGGTTCCCTATCAAGTCTCAAACCTCTAAAGGAAAAGAACTTCTAGCTATCAGGTAGTATGCAGTATCCTTAAAAGAACGAAAGAATAGCCTGTTGAATCCCTATCCCAAATATATTTTCTCTCTTTACCCTTCAAATCTTAACTATCAGAGAAAACGGAATTCAATTTCAATATCTAGGTACTGAGCTTGTGAAATTTCACTTGTATGAACATATTTCTGCTGTATAGGAAAAGGGAGCTTCTACTGGAAATAGTTTCAATTGTTTTCAATTGTCAGGTACTGAACTTGTGAAGCTTCCACTGTTATGAACACAACTCCACAGAACAGGAAAAGGAACCTCCATCGTTTGATAAAGGTTATACAATAATACAAATAAAGCTAAGAAACAATTGATTCAAAGGCAATTTTGAACATACTCTTTCAGCGTGCTGGCATGTATGCATTATGTGTAGACAGATAGACACCCTACGTGTGTACAGAAGGCTTCTAAAAGGAACTTGTCAATATTTGATGGACTGAAATGTGTAAATCAGATTAACCAAAAAGACAGTATTCTAAGAAGACAAAATAAATAACCAACAAATTTTTGGACGATGCTAAATGTTGCACAAACTCTAAGATGTGATAAACTCATACAAGAGGGTAAGAAGGACTGCTTTAGCAACAGAAATCAGCAAGAACTTACTTAACCATAAACAATAGAGTGAGTGTGAGTGATAGAGAGAGAACAAAACCATTGACAATAATGTAAAGCCATCAAAACTATACAACTTAGAGACTTGATAAGTAAGAACAACAGATAAATGCTCTACAGTAACCACACGTAAGATACCTTGAACTTCTAGCTTCGTCAACTTCCTCATCATCACTGATGGGGTAATGGTTCTCGTTCTCCTCTGATCTCTCTACTACACTCTCGACCACGACCCTGTGTTTGCTTGTCACTACTCTCGGGCTGTAGTGGTCTTTAGCACCACTATCCGTGTCTATTAACTCACTTTCTTCTCTTTGATCACCAACTTCCACCTCTTGGGAACTTGGATCTGTCTCCCCTTCACTTTCACCAGGATCAGGATCTCCATCAAGCAAATCACCTTCACTGTCTACTTCTACCTCTCCATGAATCTCTACTTCACCTTCCCCTTCAGGCTCAACCCCACCCTCTCTTTCATCCTAACAAAAAAATAAAAAATTAAAGCAATTATTCATGTAATGTGCAATGACTTCAACATACTCATATTTACACAGTTTATGGAAAACAAATGACACAGAAAGCAAACAACTATATTACTATATGTTAGAGAATAATATAAACCATTAAAAAGACCATCACCTAACACCTTAAGATTTTGGGTTAAATTGATTTTTTACATGGTATCAGAACTTCAGTGATCATAAAGTCACGAGTTCGATACTTTAAGTCCAAAGAGCTCTTGCGTAGGTATATTATAGAACAATATAAACCATTAAAAAGACTCTCACCTAACAGGTTGAATTGATTCTTTACACTATAGAATATAGTTCACAAAAGCAATAACAGACGTACATACAATACAGTTATGTCAAGCTATCTTAGAAGAACGTGTGGCACTTGAATAAATGTAGAATTTGCAATGAGAGAGGTTTGCAGCCCTAAGCTAGAAAATCAGGGGGGAACCAAAGGCAAGGGTTTAAGATGAGATATAAGGAAATTGGAATGTTACAGAAGCGTAATAGGGTCGGGGATTGGATTCGACTTCATCTTCCTCTTCCGATTGATCACCGAAGAGGTTCTGCATCATCTGGTGCCGCTTCTCTTCTCCCATCTTCTCCCACGATTTCTTCACTCGCAACGTTCAACTCTGCGTCTCTTATTTCACGTCTTTCTTTTTTCTTTCTTTCTTTCTTTCTTTGATTTTACTCACCCCACCCACTTTTCATGACATTTAACAAAAAATTAAAATTAAAAATAAAAATACGTCATTATAAAAAGTAGATAAATATAATTTTTTGTTGACAAAATTTGAAATAGCTTTTTCTCGTTGTCAAAATTAACTTCTTGCGGAGTGTATTACATTGAGATTTCAAAAGATTTTAATAAATTAATTTTTGACAAAAAAATTCATTGGTATTCAATTAAAATTTTAATGGATTGAAAAAAGTAACGTGTTATTCGATCAGGATTTTAAAAGATCATTTTAGAGTCCGTTCAAATCCGTTGGTATTCAATTCAGATTTTATACAATGAAAAAATAATATTGTGGTATTCAAAAATCTAACGATTTTAATGAATTTTCTATTGGAGTGGATTTCGTGAAACTTTTTAGAAAGAAATGTAAATAGGATGTCTCTCTTACAATCTCACTCTAACCCTAGGATTTCCTGAGATTTCTCTATTTCAGTGTTTTCTTATTCCTTTGGTAGGTTGACCCGCTCGAAATCGGGTTCCGCCATGGAAGCTTCGTCAAAACTCAAAAAAGACATATTTTTTAGCGATTTTCATCTCAAAACAACCCAGAAACAACAAACAAATGAGATTTTAATATAATCTATCTCAAAAATAACATAATTTAAAGCCATTTATGAAAAAATTTGAAAAATTTAAAAAGTGATTTTTCAATCTGTGGGTCACAATTTTTCTTGGCACAAAAAAGGTGTGATTTTTATATTAAAAAAATTAAAACAGTGGGAAAATAATAGGGGAACTAAAGCCCTCAAACCAATTTTCGTTTTACATCAATGAAACAATATCAATTTAAAGAAGTATTGAAACTTTCATAATATGAACCCTTATTTCGTAATAATACATTCGTGAACGAAATTTCTTCAATATAGAAAATGATTTCAAACAATTTTTGTGTCAATAGATAACTAAAAACTTATTTTTCAAAAATCCCAAAGCAATTTAAGGTTTCCATGTATCGATTGAAAAAAAATTGAGAAATTTTCTGAACTTTCATGTAAAAAACCTAAAAATTCAAATTCAGAATTTTCTTAGAATATTCAAATAAAATATGCATATGATATATGGTTATAAAACTCTCATAACATATAACAAAAATCTCAAAGTTTTCAAGATCAATTGCAAAAAATTCCAAACGAAAATTTATCATGAACTTTAGGTTTTTTAAAAAAAATTGGTTTTATAATCATATATGCATAGCTTTGATACCAAATTAAGAATATAATTTTCAACTCATGGGTCAAACCCAAGAGCAGGAACGAGAAAATGTTAATGCTTAGTATAACTTTAGATATGTGAAAAGTTGTTGTTTAGTAATTTTAAATGTTTGTTAAAAATTATATTATGTTTTATTGATTTTTTTTTTTGTAAGCTACTGATTAATATTTAATTTGCAATGAATGATAACCGTTGATTGATGGAAATCAACGGTTAAGATATGATTGTAAAAGGTTGTAAACAAAAATAGGTTGTAAGTATAACTTTTCCCTTTTTTATTTACTCTTGTAATTTTGAATGTTTGTTAAAAATTTATATGATTTTTTAAAATCTTATGAATCGACAATGTCATTTCAAATCTTATAAATTCTATTAAAATCCTTTAAAATTCAATCTTATGAAATATTGATGTAAAAAAAGACTTTTAAAAAAGTCTTTAATGTCTCTCCAATTCTAAATAATCTTTTAAAATCTTAATCCAATACCTTTTAAGGTTTTTTGTATGTATGTTTCACTTTTTTTCTTTTTCAATTAAAGTTGTCAACATAAATAATTTTAAAATAAATAGCACGTAAATATAAAATTTTAATTTGATAAAAATATAATTTTAAATTTGAAAAAAAACATGGTGAAATATTGTTTAAAAACATTGTTATGTTGGCAAAGTTTGAGGTAATTAATCCATAGATAAATGGTCTTTACAACTCGGGCTTCATGTTTATTATAATTATTAAGTATTTTGGATATTATATGTGTACTTTTACTTTTAAGAATAATTAAACAAAATTAATTATAAAAATAAAATTGAAAAAATATATAATTAATTTGAGTCCAATATAAAATTATAGAATACAAAATAAAAAAATTTAAAACTGTAAAAAAAAAACATGTAAAATTATTTTAAAAAATTACATTTGTTATTTAAAAAAATAATTCACTGGAAGTATAAGTTGCACTTTGAAATATTATTTTAATTTAACTACATATATCATGTACTTTTGTAGTTGTTTGATTAAAAAAAATGATATTTGTCTTTAAAATAATGTTAAATAATGAAATATCGGTTTTACCAATAAACAAACAAAAAAATAATGAAAATATAGTTTTTGGCTCATCTTGATTACTTATAAAATGTTAAATAATTTTTAGGTACCAATACGGTTACTAAGGCCGGCAAAACAAGTTCGAATCGGCAAACCGCCCCATCCTACCCCGCCAGCCAAATATGGCTGGATGAGACTTTAAGCATACCAACCATGTAACCCGTCTCGCTTTTGTGCGGGTCAAAATGGGTTAAAGGTCCATTAACCCCCTCTCTTTTGAGGGTTAACCCTTTGTATTTGTTTCTCTTAATTCTCAAATCAGATCTCAAATATTTAACGTTGCTTCTCCTTCTTCCAAATTAGCTTGGCAGCTACTTGCTCGAACTCACGCAAATTACTGAGCTTTAGGTAGGTGGTTTGTAGTGATAGGACAACTCGGATCGTCTTCCAAAGAACTTCAAATGAATGTCAAGACTGCCTTCTTGAACAGGTTCTTAAAGGAGGAGATGTATATAACATAGTCTGAAGGTTTTGCATCTAAAGGTCAAGAGCATATGGTATGCAAATTTCAAAGGTTAATATATGAGTTAAAACAAGCATCACTTTTATTTAAATAAAATATAATTTATTTGTAATACCTGGCTAAACGTCATAAGTCATAACAGTAAGCCAACTAAATAAAATCGTCATCAATGTAAACCCCAAACGACAACTAATAACGCCCATCTTTAAAATAAAATAAAAAATAAATGGACTGACTTTATGCTATAGAAACTTCGAATAAATGTCTTATTATACTGTTATTTATTTCAAAGAGTTGCTATCTCTTTGAATAATCATGACGTTGCTACCATGTCACCTATAGATTACAAAATTTGTACGTATACTTTCTCAAAGTCAACATCTAGAGGTAGCAAAGCAATTGGCTCATGTAAAACATTTATCACATGGTTTATTGGCATTCCATATACTTGCATAACAAACAATCAGTATATACTTGGATAACAAACAATCAGTATATACTAGGATAACAAACAATCAGTTTAAGACCAAAGACACGGCCCACCATATCTAGCAGCGTCTGCATACTTAACATTAAGATTCCACCAAGTTTTTTTAATTTGGACCCTTTTTGGGGCATGAATGAGTTTTTAAATACTCAAATTCCTCACACTAGATAAATCCAATAGTTTTAAGAATGAATTTTAAAAATTTAAGTAAACCACAATTTTGACGGTATAGTAATTTGAAATCACCATTAATATTAACAATATATTTATCTCAAATTAATTGGGAATATAGGTGATTTGAAATTAATAGAAATAAATTAAAGAAAATAAAAAATATTACTGTATTGCTTTTATATTTTAAAAATAAACTATGAAAAATAAATTATTTTTTTTCAAAACAGTCAGATAAAAAAGAAGTACTTAAATAATTTTTTATTTTTTAATTCCTACTTTTTCAAAAGCAAAATTATTTTCAAACAAGCTTTATTCTCTCCACTTTAAATTATGCCACTTTTTCCCAGAAAATAAATAAAAAACTATGCCACTTATTTCTCGGCTTTTTCACCCTTTTGCCCCTCATTAATTATTTAATAACTATTTTGTCCCTTATTCAAAACTATCTACCAATCTGTTCCTCTTTAATCGACTAAATCAAAAATTTAATCGATTAAATGATCAAAATAGACAAAAATCGTTGACTTGAAGATTTAGTCGATTAAATCTTCCTATTTAATCGACTAAATCTCCCATACATAAGGTTGTTCTTATGATAAAGAGGAAGATTTAATCGATTAAGTTGAAGATTTAATCGATTAAATCTTCATTTGACCATTTAATCGATTAAATTTTTGATTTAATCGATTAAATATGGGCAGATTGGTAGATAGTTTGCAATAAGGGGCAAAATGGTTATTAAATAATTAATGAGGGGCAAAAAGGTGAAAAAACCCTTGTTTCTCCCATGGATTCATAACTTTAATAAGTTTTTTGATTAGTTTATATTTTTATAAAAAATAAAAATAAAAATTATGCCACTTGTTTCTCCCATGGATTCATAACTTTAATAAGTGTTTTGATTAGTTTATATTTTTATAAAAAAAAATTAAAATGTTGTTGAGATTTTTTCTCACTAATGTATAGTTTGGGATATGTTATTCAATTTACCTCTTTTTATGCCTACTTTTGCCTATTATTTTCTAACACCGTTAGATTAGAATCTCAATTGGAGAGAGAAATAGTAAAGATAGTTGAGATTATGATCTAATAATTTCGGAGAGTGGTAAGAAAAGATAGACAGAAAAAATAGTTAATAACATATCCCGTATAATTTTATGTGAAAATTAAACAAAACATGTGTAACATCCCGAGCGCTGACGAGGGCGGGGAGTAATCGCCGGTGCAAAGAAGCACGGACGTGGAACGGCTCCTGACAGACTTCCAGCGGGGGTTATATGCATGAATGAATCGAATCAACACCCGAAAGAGAGAGATTTCAAAGGCTGTGCAAGTATAAGACTGCACAGTTTGGGATAACTTATAAGAATTAATTGGTACTACCTATACTAACAAGATGCATCTGCTTTTCGGTAGCCCGGATCGGAAGAACTCTACAGTTAAGCGTGCTTGACTTGGAGCAATTCTGGGATGGGTGACCTCCTGGGAAGTTTTCTCGGGAAGTTTCCGAGTGAGGAAAAAGCACACTGAAAAATCTCGTGTTAGTATGTGGGGCTAGTCATTGATTCTTGAAGCGGACGAGCGTTACAACATGCACCGCTAATGAAGCATTGATGAAAAATATAACCGTATTACTTCCAAGTTGCGACAAAAGGGAAAGGTGTCATAGACGGGGAAAATTTCCAGTGATCCAGGATCACCAATAATTGGGTGGTCTTTTTTTCAAAATAGAAAAAAGTAGATTCATTTTAATCTCTTCTTTTTTCATAATCCATTTTCAAACCCTTCCCTTTTTTATTTTTAGAAGGGAGCATGGTGCTCTCGTAGCACCAAAAAAGCTCTCACCTTAAACGAAAGAGAAAAAAGTTATTGGATGAGTGTGATTTGATTTACTTAATTATAAAGGTTACTTGTCTTGTGCATATGGTAGTTGAAAATATAGTTTTAGAACTGTGTTTTTATGATTTTTTTTTATCAAAATTTCAAGTGCTTTTATTTTTTTTACGATTTTTTACAATAAAAAATTGATTTATTTCTCCTTTTTGTTTTTAGGTAAAATCTCGATTTTAATTAACTTGGTCTTGTGAGCATAATTTATTAGATGAAATATCGAATCCAGCCTATGGAAGTGAGTAGTGTTATTGCTTACCACTAGGCTACTCTCAATTATTGATCAAAATGCACTTTATAATATATTTATCATATGATTTAATATAAATTTAATTAAATCGGTTGAATTAGTGACTGAACTGAGTTTAAAAACACTGCAAAAAAATTATGTAGGTCCATTTTTTTTCTTTCTCTCCTTTTTATATGATTTCATTTTGATCTTATACACTTTTATAAGAAACGTAGACCCATAAATCTTTTAAACATCATTTTAATAATAAGATCTTCTTAACAAGGTCTAATAAAAAATAGCTTAACCCGTTAAAAGAAAAAGGCATTGGGCTTTTCTGCCCAGCAGCTTAAAGAAAAAATAATTGTGCCGTCATCATACCACGTGTCTCATTTCAATTCGATGTCCTATTTACTCTCAACAACTCTTCACATGCCATCTTTCCTCTTGGGCTGTCCGTCTATAGCTAAGACACATCTTTAGCGAGAGAAGTGAGAACGGTCCAGCCTCGGATCCGAACCAATTAGCTAAGGTCCTCCGAAGCTTACCTTCGGGCCGAGCCTGAGCTTTGTTCCTCTGTTCGTTGAAAATTTCGCACTATTTCGATCACTTTATCTGTGTGAGCTGAGAGACACCTATTTTTTCATTTCCACCGCTTCGAACCCTAACGCTTGGCTTCTCAACACTCTCGCTGGATCAGTTTTGAGCTTCAATGGAGGCTTCTCAATGTCACTGTGAGTTCATGGACTATGTTTCTATCTCTATAAACCCTAGTGTTCTCGTTTGTTCAGGGAAAAAGAAACTAAAAAGCAAATCTATGCTTCGGTCTTTGGTGTTTCGTCTTGGGCGTGATTTTGGAAGCTCGTTTTGTCGTTTTGTGTCGTTTTGTCAATTTGAATGCGGATTGTGAGCTCGAATTGTGCTGTTTTCCGATCTTTTGCGTTTCGGTGATAACTTTGAGATTTTTTTTTTAGTGATTTTCGGTTTTGGGGTGAGCACACATGCTGGGAAAGTAGGGAAAAAGGAGTGGTAATTGAGTTGTGTTTGTTTTGCCTCCTCCCATTTCTTTAAGAAGTGAGCAAATTTCAGCTTAGGTGAATTGTGCATATTTTGATTTTAGATTTTCGTTTTTGGTTGTGGTTTTCATCTTCCCCGTCTGCTAGTATTTGCTTCAATATCTTCTTCCTAGTTTTGGGTTGCTGCTGTATTAGGAAGTGAGAGTATGAATTCTTGGCATACCAATATGAAATTAGTGTCATGTACGTCTACCTTCCCGTAGTAGTCTATGGAAAATGAAGGGGGAGGGTTTCTTGTACTGACAATTTGAGTCGTGTAAGTGATTTATGTAAGTAGATTATACTCGGTTAATTTTGGGTTTGGTATTAAAAATGGGTTACTTCAAGTTATATCCATGTGGATGCCAGATGAATATGGAACTGCAAGGCATGAACAGAGGTGATGGGTTTTTGCGGTGAACCTCTTTTTATAGTTGTTGTTGAAGTATATGTGTACACACAGAACTCAAAGGGAAAAATTTGATACCGTGGATGTTTTGGAGTTTTGGATAAGTTTGCTCTTTGGGATGTTTACTGGTTATGATTTTGCAATTAATTGGAGTTTGCTTTTATTTTTTAAGAATTACTGCCAGTTGCCGTAAATGTGATGCAATTGTCAAATGTCTCGAGGATGATAAATTATAGGATTAGTTTTAAACAAAGGGTTACAAGTATTTCATAGCGCAGATGATAATATTGAATGCCATTACTAGAACAACACCCATTTGTAAAATAGAAAAGATGAAGCTGTGTATAGGCAATGCAAAATAGAAGCTTTGCAGTTCTTCCCATTTTTGCAGGACTCTGGTTTTTTCCAACGCAAAAATGTGTAGGAAACATGTTTGAGGTTTTGCATGTCTATTTCATAATTGTGTTTCTTTCTTTCTTAAGATTCATTGGTATGACTGATTAGGAAATTGTCACAACCTGTTTAAATATTTCCATTTTGATTCCTTGTGTCAGTCGTGTGCACCAATCCTTCAATTGGATATAAACTTTGAAGGGGGAGTATTAGCTATATATACATATATATTAGCTGTATATGTATATATAGCTAATAGGGAGGCCAACATATTTCATTATTTTGTTCATTTATTTATTTATTTTTGAGTGGTGTTGAGACTTGTTTCATGATGAAAGAATACTTTTTGTAAGTAGATACTATCAGAGAAGGATAATTTCTTTTGAACCTTTAGTACTTTTTTGATGCTGAGCTAGGATGGCAGTACTAGTATAGGTAAGGAAGAACATCCTGTACCTGTGATTATGTGAATATATAAAAAGTATTTGAAACCAAAAATTATGGTTTATGCACATAAGCTGTGATTCAACCTTGTGACACAGGTAATACTTCTGGTTATAGAACTCAGAAATGCAATCCTTTTTTCATTAATTATTTTTTCTCCATATTTTTCTTTATTTAAGAAGGAACCCCGAGAACCTTAATTTTGGATATATAACCTGATGAGCCTCTGTGCTTCGGCTTACACTTTCCAGTCATGTGTTTTAGATCAATCAGTAATGTTCCAAAATTTCTTTTGATTGCATTATAAGCATGTTCTAAACTGGCCTGCAAGGAAAAAAGCTTTATGGCTGCTTTTAACTTTGCAATTTCATTTGGCAACACCATGATTATCATATTGCATCATGAAAACTTGTGTTGTTTTATGTGTGTGAATTGTTTGCATTTCACTGTTGTGCCCTGGTGATTGAGTATGGCATATTGCTTGAGACATCAGTTATTGTTATCCTTTCATATCTTTCAACAACTCTTCTATCAGCTAATATTTTGTTTCTTTATTAAATTCCAGGAGTAAATGATAGTTGCTCAGAGGTGTGTTTTTGGACAGCATAATATTTGGAGAAACTTTTTGTTGATCTTTCTGGATTCAGTAGGCCTTCTTATAAATAGTTATCTGCTGGAAAATTTGGGCTGGGTTATCTATGCCTGGAAACGAAGTAGGAGACAGGGTGCATAATTTTTTTGGTCAAGAGAACTTGTCCCAGGGTCAGTATCATTCACAGGCAGTTGACGGGAACTGGCCAGGGCTAAGCAATAATTTATGGGCTAGTAGCCAGAGACCAACTGGTGCACCTTTTATTTCCAATTTGAAGAATTTTAATCCACAGCAATCCGGTAGAAGTTTTATATATATGTTTGAATTTTTTCTTAATCATTTATCAATGATAATATATTCGCTTGCACAATTACACTTTTGTACCCCTACGGGTTTAACATAAGTTATAATTGCGATTTTGACGTTTATGTGGTTTTTTTCCTTTTTTGGTTACTAATCATACTTCCTTTTACTTGTACAAAGATTCTGAGCAGGGTCACACTAGTGCTCCACATTTGCGACATGGTTTGAACCTGGCACAATCAAATCTGAGGCCTGACTCTGGGAGAAATCAATCCCCAAACCATCCTACTGCTGTTAATGGCTATATGCAGGGGCATCAGGTTTTCCAGTCTAGGCAAAACGAAGCAAACATTTTGGGAGTGGATACAGAAGCTGATATGCAGGGCGTATCAAGTCTATCAAGAGGAGTATCAGTGCTAGATTCACAACAAGGGGCTGGTCTTGAACTCTACAAGAAAAACTTGAGTAGGACTGATGCTGCTGAGTCTCCTGTCAATTATGATTTTTTTGGAGGTCAACAGCCAACAAGTGGTCGTTATTCAGGCCTGCATCAATCTTTTCCCAGACAGCAGTCAGGGATGAATGACATGCATCTTTTACAACAGCAAGTGATACTCAACCAGATGCAAGAAATTCAAAGGCAGCAACAATTTCATCATCTAGAAGCTAGGCAACAGAGTTCTATGACTCCAGCTTCCTCCATTTCGAAACAGACAGTTGCGAGCCATTCTGCATCTCTCATCAATGGTATTCCCATCAATGAGGCATCTAACCTTCTCTGGCAGCCTGAAGTTATGGCAACTAATGCTAATTGGCTCCAGCGTGGTGGATCTCCAGTTGTGCAAGGTTCCTCTAATGGACTTGTATTATCTCCTGAACAACTGCGCCTGATGGGTTTGGTTCCTAATCAGGGAGATCAGTCTCTTTATGGGCTTCCAATTTCTGGCTCAAGAGGTACAACTAACCTGTATTCTCATGTTCAAGGAGATAAGCCTGCAGTGTCTCAGGTTTCTAACCAACACCAGTATTCTCATGTTCAAGTTGACAAGACAGCACTGCCACATATATCAGCCAGTGGTAATTCATTTCCAGCTCATCAGTATGCTAGTGTTTCAGATCAGACTAATGCAAATGATGGAACTTCAGTTTCAAGACAGGATACTCAAGGAAAAAGTTTGTTTGGTTCTATTGCTCAAGGTATAAGTAGTGGACTAAATATGGAGAACTTGCAGCAAGTGAATTCTGAACAAAGAAATGTACCGTTTGAAGATTTTCATGGGAGGCAGGACTTAGCTGGATCTTCTGAGACTTCTCAGGACAAAGTGGTAATGCAGGTTCCTCCTTCACAGAATGTGGCTACCTTAGATCCAACAGAAGAGAAGATTTTATTTGGTTCAGATGACAGCCTTTGGGATGGGTTTGGTAGGAATACGGGTTTCAATATGCTGGATGATACAGATAGTATTAGTGGATTTCCATCTGTCCAGAGTGGGAGTTGGAGTGCACTTATGCAGTCTGCTGTAGCTGAAACTTCTAGTAGTGAAATGGGTATACAGGAAGAATGGAGTGGTCTAAGTTTCCGGAATACTGAACGTTCATCTGGAAATGAGCGGCCTCAAACCATTCATAGCAGCAAACAGCAATCAGTCTGGGCTGACAATAACTTGCAGTCAGCACCCAATATAAATTCAAGACCTTTTCTTCGGTCAAATGATCTTAGCAGGCCCAATACCACTGTAAACTATTCTGGTCTTCCCGGATTTCATCAATCAGGTGCTGATACAGTACAGGAACAGCATGACAGGCTACAAACTGATTCTTCTCAAAGATCAATTCCACAGTTTTTAGAACGAGGCAAATGGTTAGATTGCAGCCCTCAGCAAAAACCAATTGCAGAAGGGAGTCATATTTATGGAAATGCTGTTAACTCCTCAGGTTTAGAAATAAATGAAAAGGTTATTTCAGGTTCTTGGACCCATCAACATGCGCTACCATCCCCTAATAGCAGTGGTGAGCCATTCAATAGATCTAATGGATGGAATCCTATCAAATCAGCCCTGCCTGATAACAATTCTACTTTGAGAACCCGTGAAAATGAAAATGTGTTGCAGCGCCATCGTGATAGAGCTATGCAAGAGGATATGGGCCAGGTCCCTGCTATGTGGGAACCTGATTCTGATACTAATTCATCTGTTGGGTTGGAACATGTAAAGTCTGCAGGTAATGTGCCGGTTTGTGCGGAAGATTCTGGTATGAATGGTATTGCCGCCATACCAAATTCAGGTGCTACATGGGTCAGCCGGCAAACCAACCAGCAGCTCCCTAATGTTGATGTGTGGAGACATGCAGATTCGATGGGGGGATACAGAAGAAATGAAGATCCAGGAAAGTATAGGCATCATATGGAGAAGAACCCTTTAGTTTTGGAGTCATTAAAAAACAAAAAGTCAGAAGGTGAGGCACATGATGTGGAAAACTCGAACAAAAAGGATAAATCAGCTGATGGTCTTGGCTCTAATCATTCCCATCAAAGAGCTGGTGGTTTGAGAGAAAATCCTAGTTTTGATGGAAGTGATTTGTGTAGTCCAAAGTTATCTGCTCAGGGAAATCGAAGACCTCCTGTAACTCGTAAATTTCAGTATCACCCAATGGGGGATGTTGGTGTTGACGTAGAATCTTATGGAAACAAACATGTCATAAATTCACAGCCTGTGCCCCACCAACCCTTTGGAGGACTAAAAGGTCAGGACCAAAGCTATCCTGGGCAGTCAAAATATGGTTATTCTGATGGGAATTATACTGAAATGGAGAAGGTAATTTTAAGACTTTACCCTTATTATGCAAGTATCACTCTATTGATTGCACAGATTTTTCTCTACTTGAGAATCAAAATTTGTTAAAATTCTTTAAAATTTGACAGAGGTATGCACCTGCTTTTCAGGATGACTCAAAATTTTTGGATGATAATGCTTCAAAAAGCATACTGCCTGGTGGTCATATACAGAAAACATTGACTCCATTTGATAGAAGTGTTGGTAACTATGCCTTAAACAAGACTTCTTCACCCAGGTACTTGAACATCGAAAATATTCTTCTTGCTTTTCTTTTGAGCTCATGAATTTTGTGTGTCATGATTTGGTAGTTCCTTCTAAATTATTATTTGCTCAAACATTTTTAATGGGAAGTAACCATGACATGTGCTTGTTTTACTTTTTCATTAGTTAATTTCTGGTCTAATTGGTGCTGTAATCTTGTTTACTGGTTTCTTTTTATTTCCTTTTCCTACTACTCCACTCTTCCATGTCATCATACATGGCGACCTTAGCTCAACTGTTTACATTGATTTGTTAAAATTATTGTAGTCAAAATATTCTTGAGCTTCTTCATAAAGTGGATCAGTCAAGGGAGCATGGCATTGCAACAAATACAAGCACTTCTAACCGCCATTTATCTTCCAGGGTGCTGGATACTGAATCATCTGATGGGTCTTCTGTACAACCTCAACGAAGTCAAAGTTCTTCATCTCAAGGCTTTGGTTTACAATTGGCTCCTCCTACTCAAAGGCTTCCTATGGCATCTTCTCATGCTACACCACAAGTTGCATCTGAGACAGCAGATAAGGGTCATACTTGGTTGGCTGTTACTCAGACTTTTCCTTCTCGAGAGTCGTCTAATGAGCTTAGGAATAACATTTCTGGTTCCTCAGGACAAATTTTTGATAAAGCCTTGCAGTACAGTGTGCTGGGAAATGTTCCACAGGCTTTCACATCTGGCTTTCCTTTCTCCCGGATCCATACTCAAAATCAGAATGTGGTTAATCTTGGTGGACAAGTAGCTAATGCTCAATGTGATAATGCAACTTTTGTTGATCGGACAGCTTCCATGAATCAGATAGATGAATATTGTGAAAGAGCTCAAACTAGTAAGTCTGAATTGGCATCTGCTCAGGAAATGTCCCAACTCAGTGGTATAGACCAAATCCGTCCTGTAGATCCTGCCATGCAAATTTCGGCATTGGAGGCTGGCACAGCTCCTCATCCTTCTGTTACATTTAATGCATCTCTACATGGCGCCCCTTCTAAAGTTTTACACAATGTTTGGACAAGTGTTTCTAGCAAGCAACATCCCAATGCTTTGAAGATTCCATCACGTCCCCAACCAATTAATGTTTGTGAAACTACAACAGGACCACAGAAGCCTGGTATTGACAATTCAGAGCAAGATGTTAATGACCTTTCTGGGCAGCGGGTATTGCCTGAGAGTGTTGATGCTGCTGAAGAGACTGCGAGTGCATCACATGTGAAGGAACATGTTGCGAAATATATGCCTGATACATCTCAATCTAGCCCAGCTGCTACCTCTAGAGATATTGAAGATTTTGGCCGGTCGTTAAGACCAAACACTCTTTTGCACCAGAATTTCTCCATGCTAAATCAAGTCCAGTCCACAAAAAATATGGAGATTGATCCTAGTGATCAAGATGTCAAGAGATTCAAAATTTCAGATAATGTGGTGGGCAGACAGCAGGCGGATTCCAACCGTGGACAACTGTCATACGGATACAATAGAATGATCAAAGATGTGTCAGGAAATAATTCTTCAGTGCCACCATCAGATCCGAATATACTAAGCTTTCCAACAAAGCCAGGTGAGGGACGAGACACTAATGCATCTTCTCAGGAGGTGGTTGGATATAGCCAGAAAAATGCTCTTGATGTCATTAATAGTAACAAAGCAACTTCTGGTAGAAGTGAACATTCTGTGATAAATCCTCAGATGGCTCCATCATGGTTTGAGCAATATGGAACTTTTAAAAATGGTAAAATGTTGCCAATGTATGATATACGGACAATGACTCCTCCAAAAATTATGGACCAGCCTTTCATTGTAAGGAACCAATCTGGTAGTTTGCATCTTGGTAATGCAATGGAGCAAGTTAATAGTCTCAATGATGCTGGTCAGCTTGGTAATTCTAGGCAAAGTTCAATGCCTACTTCAGTTGCAAGTGAGCATTTGCCTTCTCAGTTATTGCCTCCTGCTGCTGTTGAACCTGATTTGCTTAATATGAGATCAATGAAGCGTAAAAGTGCCACATCTGAACTCATGCCATGGCATAAAGAACTGAGACAAGGTTCTGAAAGGCTTCAAGATATCAGGTGGTTGACAAAATTATGTGATTTAGCATATGCTTGGTTTAGATTAATTTTTACACAAAAAACAACTTTTTAGTCAAAAGTTCTTTTTGACAATTTTGATTATAAGTTTTCTTAACACAAAATAAGCTAATCTAAACATTTACTGCATTTACAATTTGCTGTTGCTATTGCTGATGACTTGAAGTAGGAAAAGATCTTGTTGCTTTCTCCAGTTGATACTATGTGTTTTCAATTGCCTTTAAGTAGTTTATGCCTTGCACATTTGCTACGTGAATATATTTTGGTCTTGTTTTGTGTTCATTAATTTGTTATGGCTTTTTTTCTTCTAAGAAGATTGTGGTTTCTGATTATTTGGCAGTGTGGCAGAATTGGACTGGGCCCAAGCTGCAAATAGATTGATTGAGAAGGTTTGTTCATAATCAATTCAGTCTATGCAACTGAATCTCTACATTCATTTGTTAATGAGTGAGTTCACGTTGCTCCATATACAATTTTAGGTTGAGGACGATGCTGAGCTAGTCGAAGAATCACCAACAATGAAGTCAAAAAGAAGACTTGTCTTGACTACACAGCTTATGCAGCAACTACTCAATTCTCCTTCAGCAGCAGTTCTCTCTGCAGATGTCAAGTTGCATCATGAAAGTGTGGTCTACTCTGTTGCTAGATTAGTGTTAGGAGATGCATGTAGTTCAGTCTCATGTTCTGGAAGTGACACACTCATACCCCCTGGCAGCAAAAACCTGTAAGATTTTTTTTTCTTTTTTTCTTTTTTTCTTTTGAAGTGAGTATATAATGGTTGTGAACAGGTCATTGGATGCTATCAAGTGGGCGCTATCTTATTGTGAGATGTGAGAAAAACTGATCTTGACCATTTAATTTAACATGAATGGTCATGATTAGAAGTTATTTGAAAGTCAAATGACCACTTAAAAGAGTCAAATGACTTTTTATGTTTTAATCTTGATCTTACATGCACAATCCAATGGTTAGGATTTGTTCATCTCACTCTCACGATAAACTACTTTTCTTACTTGATGCGTGCTTCATACAATATTCTGAATTTTTTTGTTGATATATTCTGTAGCCTGCCCGATAATCTTAATGCATCCAAGAAAGTTGATCAGTACATTTTCAAAGTGGAAGACTTTGTTGGTAGAGCAAGAAAACTGGAAAATGATATATTGAGGTACTATCAAAGTGTTCAGTTTGATACTTTCAATGTATAATTTTATTTTTTCAATCAATGGCAAATAGTATGGCTGCTCTATATAAGTTACAAATTTCATATGCAGGCTCATCTGTGTGTATGAATGCAAAAGAACAGATGCTTTGATATTATGTCTAGAAGTGTTGAAGGGTTTTTATAAGATTTGTTGCCTTTTCCCGTTCTTTCTTTTTTGTGGTTATAAAAAATAAAATTTCACAGAAAAATTGATTTGGAAGACGAAGTTGAAATATGGAGCTGTTATCTTTGACTGGTTTACGTTCTTTTTGCTTCTTAGAATGGGGCTCAATTGCTCATGAGATAGAGATACAGACTGTGCTGGCATAAGTGGTAAGAGGTGTCTTTAAAATGGAAGTAGTTTTGTGTTTTTACTTGTATCTCTTCTCAAGCAAGATGGATGATTAAAAAGAAGAGAAGTGAAGTTAGATCAACGTGTTGATAAAGATAACTCGTACCCTTTGTTGTAAGGGAAGAGAATATAATGGTGCTTATCTGACAGATGATGAAAATTTTTGGAGTACTGTGCCTATACCTTTTTATTGGTTTGCCTTTAACAATTTGATTTTACATGGTAATGATGGTATTTGCAATATCCCATAGCGCTTATATACCGGGATATGGAAATATTGGCCTTGTGTTTTCCTCTTTATTTGGGTTGCCTTCTACTCTGCTACTGTCTTTAGGTTTTTGTTTCAACCCACCGCTTTCATTTGTCTTTTACATGAAAGCTACAATTTTTGTTGTACTCTCGTTTCTTATATTTTTCAACTTTATGAAGCAGATTGGATAGCAGAGCTTCAGTTTTGGACTTAAGATTGGAGTGTCAAGATTTAGAAAGATTTTCTGTGATCAATCGATTTGCCAAGTTCCATGGACGGGGGCAAAATGATGGGGCGGAGACTTCGTCATCTTCTGATGCAACTGCAAATGCTCAGAAATCACAGCCCCAGAGATATGTTACTGCTGTTCCAATGCCTAGAAATCTCCCAGACAGGGTACAATGTCTTTCACTTTGATAATTTATTAATTCATTTTTCCATCTTTCTTGGTCAGTTGTCTCCACAACTTCCCGTTTCTGGTTCTTTTCTTTCAACTTATATTATTGCACTTCATCGCCATAGAACCATACAACTGGCAATGTAGGAGAAGAATGGTACTAGATTGCCTTCTCAACCAATGGAGGCTGTTAGATCTTTGCAATCTATATATGTATGTATGTCTAGATCTTTGCAATCTAGTTATCTTTTACTTTTGGTTTTCAGGTTCCAAGCCTTTTGTATATAGTAAGATAATATATGCAGTCTACTTAGTTTTAACCATACCATTGGCTCGGTTTGAATTTAGCATAAGTTAGTTCTTTCCACTTCTACTTCCCCCTTCCCCCCATTTAATAAAGCATGAGCTGTTTAGTGTTTACTGAATCATTTCCTGTATTCGTATCTAGTAAGATAATGTATGCATCTTCCTAGTTTTAACAATGCCATTTGGCTTGGTTGTCTGGTTAATTAGCAGAAGTTTAGTGTTTACTGAATCATTTTTATTTTCTCAATTTCAAATCATTTTCCTGTATTTGTATATTGTAAGATAATGTGTGTAGCATAAGCTCTGCTTCACTCAATCATTTATGTATTTATTCTTTAAATTTCAAATTTCCTGTATTTCCCCGTGTAGTCCCTGCCCGTGGGCTTTTTAAGCCCTCAGTTCTTGCACAACCACCACCTATAAATTTAAGGCCTCTAGGGAACATTCTTGGTTCCTACAATTCAAAATATAAACAGGTTCAGATTGAGAATTGCCTCTTCAGTAACGGCTATACCTTATTAGTTTGTGGTTTGACCCAAATATACTTAAAATCGAACACTTGATTGTCTCAGAAGTTTAAATTTGTATTAGAGTATTGTCTGTAAAGCGCTCATAAGGGATTTATATTTTAGCTAGGTGTTGTAAAAATTTTCCTTGTTTTTGACAATGATCTGTTCAAGTTTGACGGCTTTTTTTTTACTGCCTCGATGTATTATGTGGGAAATAATCTCAACAAATTAAAATGTCCGGCGTGTTAAGATAATAGTTTGATAATATAGTGGTATAAATGGGTTACACCATGTTTATTTCTTCCTCGATTACCTCCATGCCCCATCTTCGGAAGTGCACATTTTACATGGACTCCGATCTATGATGTTGGAGCAATCATTTTTAATTTTTCAGAATGTCTTTAATCAAATGAGTTGATGTTTGACTTAAATGTTTACTAAAGCATGTTTTGAAAAATGAAATAAAAAAGGGGTTAATAAACCGGAGGAAGTAATCAGTTTCTCTCTGCTGGTTAACTCCCACATATGCTACGGGTTAATGTTACGATGGTGTCGTGACCAACGTCCAACGTAGTCAACCAAACATGCCACGGGGCAGGGGCAGGGCCAGTGTATAAATCATCGTATTTTCAAGCTTTTGTCGTACATGGGCACATCCAAAGAAAGATGCCAACTTCAAGAATAATGATAGTCAACTCAAAAAAGCATTGAAAAAGAAATTTAATATTTGCTGTCACAACATATTCACAGATCTTTTTGGTATGAAACATCAGATATGGGGAATTTGGATTTAACAGAAAAGGCCGGTATCTCACAAATAGAGTCGTAAAGGCCGTATCTTAATGAAAGCAACCAACATAAAAACTGTTTTTGTCACCATTGTACAGCTATATTACAATAAGCAAATAGTGGGGACCAAAAGGAAACAAACCTAAAATGCATAATTACACCGGCTATCTACGGTGTGCACTTTTAAAATATATTAAATCAAAAGATGATATAAAATTAAACTAACATCAGCATCACATTTTGTTGGCTAAATTTCTGTTTACATCAATTTATTTTTTCTTTTTAATAATAGCTTTGGACACATGGGTGTCTAACGTATCAAAATTGGCCCATTCCGATTTGACAATGAAGTAGTAAGACTAGCAGCCTTTTTTTTATTTTATTAAAAAGAAAAATGTTATAAACCTTCCCTGAAGGTCAAAACAGGAAGAAGAAAAACACAGTAAAATAGTTAAGTACCTCCTGCATATTTGCGATATAGTTGAGCATATGATGCATCCAATGCAGACACCCATTTGCTCACATATGAAGAATTTCATATGAACACCCACCCATCTCCCGCATAATTCCTAAAGTTTGACTTTGAACAAATTTCATCCGCATATGAAGAACCTGGTTTTCGTCTGTTCACAACTTGTTACTATTATGAGAATGAGACTAAAACTACTCATCTCCATGACTTGATTATGGATTTTACTGCAGCAGCAAGCAATAAACATCTCTTACCACTCTTTTTTGGTATAGAAAATATCTTTAGAAAGAGCACTAAGGTCTAACCACTCATTCTGACTCCAACAACATGCTCATCATTCAGTACTGAGACGTCACTCGTGATGACAGCAGCTTTAACATATGCTAATATGCATTTCCTCCCCAATAACTGCAAATATCTCGTTCACCCTGTGAATAAGGGAGGGCAGGAAAGGATGGGGGAGATAAACATGCATTTTAGCCACATATATTTATATAAATTTATACTATAACATTTCATTGTAGTCCAACCTGAAAGTGTCGACATTCGCCTCTGCAAGCCATGTTGTTAAATAAACCTGTGATTTAGAATTAAATTTAGACAATCCCATGATAGAAAGGAAACTATAAATTATATATGTACGAGAAAAAACATGTATTATTTTAAGTTCAAAGGATTAAAAGTAGGGAGAAAACAATAATTACCACAGTATCCCTATCTGATCTGTTCTCAAACTTGCTTACCAAATCAGTAATTTCATATGTTAAATGTAAATTTCCCATTTCTTTATGCTAAAATGTATCCTTCACATATTTCTTTTTAATCAGAAAGAGGAAAGGACTCCAATATAAGTGACAGTGAATCAACCCTTACAAAGACATTGTATAGGAAGTAAGAAGATCCAGCACCAGACTCTTGTCATGTTAGCTTACCCAGGAAGAGGATACTTACTCCACCAGATGGCTAAGAAATTTATTCTTCCTCCCATTAAAATCAGTCTAAACTATAATAGTGTAGCTTTGGAGTATCAAATTGATAGCTAACATATCAATTTTAAACCTCAAATCATAGTAGTTAATTGCGCCGCGAGCCACACCGCATGGGCATTGCGGTGCCTCACCGCAAGAAACCGCATCGGAACGCAACAGCCATTGCGATCGCAAATCACGGCCATATTGTTGTCATAAGGCAAAATGTCAATTTTTCCTAAATTTAAATGGGTAACAGAAAATTTTTAAGGATTTTTTAGTCTATCTGTGTCACTTCTGTTATCTGTGCCTTTAAAAAATGTTTCTTTTTGTCATTATTTCTGTCATATATCTATTCTGATATTTCTGCAACCGCAACCCGTTATAGCGCTATAACATTTTTTGGGGTTGGCCACGACATGCCGCAATCCGCATTTGATAACTTTGCCTCAAATATAGACACTTTATAATGAATTCAAGAGCATATACCATATTGAATATAATACCTGTAAAATCTCAGGGTTGGGTTTGTTGTCAAATCTTAAAGCAACCATGTCAGATTTCCCATCTCTCAGTCTTGGTGGAACTGGCCCATGAGTATCCTCACAGTACAGATTGCAGTCTCTCAAATCTTTGAATTCATCAGCATAAAGCTGAGCTGACCAATGCAACTGGTTTACTTGTGAAGCATCATAACCAATGGACATAAAACCAAGAACAAGTAACCGCTGCCCATTTGAAATAAGTTCCCCAATAAGAAAAATCAGCAATCAAATATAAAATGAAAAAAAAAAAAAGCACAGCAACTGCAAAGAAATTATATTTCACCTTCAAACGCAATTCCAAGCTAAACATCTGAACCAGCTCCTCAGCAAATTTTTCTGAGATTTCAAAACGTGTAATTTTATCATAATTTACAGGAAAATATATGTCAGTTAATACATTGCACTCTGATTTCCCCCATTTGTTATGTTAAATGGAAACAAAGTTAACGATGTACATTGATTTGTAAGTGGAAGAAACTTCATTATAATTCAGTAATATTTTCTCAGATTTAGCCTAACTCCTCTGATGGAACTTTTAAATTAAAACTTATAACCATGAATTCAAGTGTTTTTTCGCATTCATTTATGCTTCCCTCAAAACAGTTCCAAAATTCTACTATATTTAGGTTAGCCAAAACTAAAACCCTCGATGATTGTCTAACCGTGTAAAAGGGCAAACCTTTGCGAAGGTAGGGGTGAAAATCGATAGTATGCAGCCCTACCCTTGCTTTTTTGTGTAAAATGATGTTTTCCAGACTCGAACCCATGATATTCCGGTCACAAAGGAGCTGGCTTGTCCTCTGATTGTCTAACCATGTATAGTACATTTAAGAACTGACAACTCTATTAGAAAGACAGAAACAAGCATGTATTCTATAAACTTTTCTTTTCCTTTATTGCAAGTTTACCCAACTTACAGGGGAAAAAGTGAAATACAGTCTTATTGATGAAACATAAATTCAATCTGGTCACTCTATGATATAGAAAACAAAAAAAAGTTCTTCGAAAGGATCAAAAGTTTATACAATATGCCTATTCTAGCTAGATCTAATATGTTACTTTTTTTTTTTTTTAATATTAATCTAATATGTTACTTCACTGGGTGAAAATATATGCATAAAACAAAAATGAAAAAAAAGAAAAAGAAAAAAAGGGATTACTAGCAAATCAACTGAAGAATTGTACAACAGTATCAATGATCAATGCAAGATGTTAATTTGTGAATATTGTAATACCATGTGAAGAGATCGACAAAAATGCAAATACTGGAATCCCACCACCATCTCCAGAGTCACTCTGGTCTTCAGAGTTATGAGAAAATTGTAAAATTGAACTATTATTTGCTCCTTTGAGGAAACACTTCATTGATCTGCTAACATTGATCATGTCACGTGCAACGCTCACCTGAAGTTACATGAAAATTAAAAGAAATACATCAATACACCTGATATTATTCAGTAAACTATTGCCTTTGATAAATACAAGTATGTGACAGCTAAATTTTGCAGAAATACTTCTTTATAAATTGCAATAGAAGAGGAACCTTGGGACAACAGTTGGTGTTGTCACCATGTGGCCCAGAGGTCACAGGTCTGATTCATGTAATCAGCCTCTTGCAAACGCAAGGTTGCCTAATATAGATCCCCACAACGGGTTTGACCCTTTCCTGATAATATTTCTCCAATACTACTCCTGTAGTATTGAACACTGAATGCATTAAAAGAATAAAATAACTCACTTAATTGTATTTATTCTACACATTCCTTTATGGTTAGTATCACATGAGTCTCATTTATTTCTATTTTTAGTAAAGGACTATGTACCGTGGGAGCACTGAAGATTTTCCCCTTTCATGAATCCTGCACAGAACGGGGGCTTTATAGTACCAAACTTTATAGATTGCAAATTTCCATTTTCCATGAACATGGCAGTTAAAGAGGTGCTCAGCTTTTGTATGTCATTTTTTGTGTGTGTTTTTTGTTTCCCGTTTCATACATTTGAAAGACACTGAAAATAATATTATATGGCATCAACAACACTTCCGAATTTTCAGTTGAGTGAGCGGCTAAAGCAATTATTTTTGGTAAATTGGTAGGAATATATATGTAAGTGTATGTAAGGTGGGTTGTAGAGGATTATGTGCTACTAATGAGGTGGCATAACTAACTTTAGAATATTCTGGAGGGTAGGCTTAGTATAAGATGGGGAAGGGGAAGGATGTGAAGCATATATTTTGGAACTTGGGACTTGGGCTGGGAAACCAGGTTGGGAGAGAACCAGAGCACTCTCTAATTGCTCTGGAAACCATTTAGCTTTTCTTGTATTTTTCCTTTATTTCATTACTGTCTCATATTGTTTGTACCTTCTTCCATTGATTAACATACATAAAATCCAGTTCTTCTGGGCCATTTCTCCGGTGTTAGTTGCGTTTTACTCTAATATTTTGACAGATCTTAACATAAATACATGCCAAATTGTATGTTCCTTACAATACTTTGCAAGAACAAATATATCTTTAGTTCAAGTTTGAAATAAAACAAGAGGGATATAAAATACCATATCCTTATAAGACAACAACAATTCGCTCCTTTGAAGTTCCTGAAACAACAACAAAAAGCACATTCTGTAGATATTTAAATGATGTGATATACTTTAAGGTTTATCATTTTCAATAACAGAAGAAATTTTATTAGAGAGATAACAGAATAATACAACCGAAAGGATAATACGATATCCACCTGAAAAGAAAAACAAAAAGAAAATGAAGATCCAAACACATAGTAAAGCATTAGAAAGGAGCTACATACACAACCTTATTCCACAAAATATGTAAGGGCAGACAGACCTCATTGAGAATGCAGGCATTTCGCTCCTACCATATACCAAATATACCCAATAATCGTATAAATAACATGCACAAAATTTTGGCCTCTTTATTCCTGCCAAAGCCTTTGAAACGTATCATGAAAAAAGCTCTGTAGCATGTTGGGCACACCCAATGTTCACCAAGAACCCCAAACAAGAGGAGGTATCTTCTGTCATAGGTATTTGCGATGCAAAACAGAGCATGGCACCGAGATGGAAGAAGGACAAAAAAAAGAAGGTCGGAAAAGGGGAGGAAGATGAACGGTATTGAAGCCAATATCAGGTAGGGGGAAATTTGAGGCGAAAGATGAAGGGGAAGATGCAATGATGGGTCATGGTTTCCAGAATTTAGTGATGGCAAGGAGACACATGAGGAAGAGAGATAGGAATCTCCAACAAAGCCAGCGAACTCAAACTTGTCCATGGAGATGGATGAGAGATCATTGGCAGAGGGGTCGTAGGTCCTGCATTTGCAGGCCAAGCCTCCATTGTTGATCTTGGATGGATGCACAAGTAATACAATGGTGGATCAAGGAAAGATGAAATCAGCGACAACAATCATGGAGATAGGAATTTTACACAATCCATCAGCAACCCCACCACCGCCACTGTTATGAACATAAATACAAGGGAACACAGGACTTAGAGATCTATATCAGAAGGCAGTCAGTTGCATTAGTTGAGGCTTTTATTAGGAGTTTGAACTAGTTAGTTAGTCAATTGTAAAGTCAATTCAAGAGTAGGTGCTATATGACGAAATGACTTATCTATTATCACACACATCTACACATTTACATTTCATAGAGAGTAACTGAGAGTGCTTAGTTATGAAGGGGAATTTCCCCTTTGGAGAAGATAGTCCCGCTTTGTAATCCTTGCAAACAATTCAGCAATAAAGACACTATTTTCTGTTCTTCTTTCTAGTGTATGACTTCTTCAAGCCCTTTTCTTGATTTCTGGTCGTATCAGCCGCAGCCGACAAAGTCAAGTTCACATGTTAAGAATTGTGGGTCACTTCAAGCTGAGTTATCGGGGATTAAACAACATATAACAACTTAGTATCTATTCTTGTTATTGCGGGCTAGCTTGTAAAGGAAGAAAAGACACTTAAGGAATCAAAGAAGGAAAATACTTACAAAGATTTTTCTGCTTATCAGAGGCTTGAGGCAGGTAACAACAACCCATTACCTAAACAATGCTGGTTGAAGGAGAAGAGGGTAGATCTGCAAGAGAACAATGAGGCGAGCCTACATATGCAGGTGGTAACAAAAATGATGGCAGATGTGCCCTCACGCCAAAAAATTGAACAACAGCTCGACAGGCTTCGGCGGCATATAAGAGCTCTGGTGGGCTGGATGACTAGAGGTTGCTAAAGACGATGGTGTGGTTGGCTGATAGAGTTGACACTCAGACAATGATAAATTTTCAACAGTGGTGGTGTAGATAAGAGAGAAAAAGGAATGTTTTGTGTTAGAGCACCTGGGAGGTTGGTTCAACCTGAAACCACCAAGGATGGATTGATCTAGATGGGACAAGTTTGATGGTGTTATCAACGGCTAGAAAGCTCGCTTGATGACAGTGGAAGACAACTAAGAGTGGTAGGTGGCAACCATAAAATAGTGACAAAATTGAGAAGCGACGTGTTTGGGTGTGTGGAGTCACGACTGGCAGCAATTGTGCATCTTCCGGCCGCGTTCGGCAACATACCATCGCCTTCGCCGGTGTATTGTTCATCATGCATTCGGCCTTCGTTTTCGATGTTAGGTGTTTTTCCTCCCTTGTTCGTTGTTCATTTGTGGTTGTCTAGCTCTTTCCATTGCTGTCCAGGCCTTTCGGCATTCACCCAATACCTTTTATTGTTGTCCAGGCCTTCTTGTTGTTCATCTAACCCTCGGAGAAGTTAGAAAGTTGCACTTTGGCCTGTCTCAGATGTGCTTTGATTGGGTCTCCTATGTTGTTGTATGGTTGAAGCTTCCAAATGTTATTTTTGATGAACTTGGAGAAGTTTTAGGTTTTTGTTGTGTATAGTTGATTGCCAAGACATTTCCGCCGATGCCCAGTCCATCAAACTTTCTTCTTTTTGGTCACACAATGTTTCAACCAGCTCTTTAGACTTATGGTCATTCCAGCCATGTTGTTGAGTTGCCTTTCCAATAATGTTTATCTCTCCAACGTCTCAAGTATCCATGATTTGTTTTGTGGGGCTCAAAATATATTATTTGGTTATTTTTTTTAAAGGGTTTATTTGCAACAAGCTTAAAGCTTAGTGAGTTTAGCTTGAGGGGGTGCTAGAATATCTAAAAGATACTGTATAATATTAACATTATACCTTAATATGGTTTAGAGTATCCTAGAAGATCTCTTTGGATTAGTTTCCTAATTTCTTTATATTTTATGATTTGTTTCCTTATTTTAGGAGCCCCTATTTAGTAAAAATAGGGATTAGAGCTTTGTCGTTTGTAATCACATCAATCACCTCATAACACATAATATTCAATCTTTATCATTCTCTCTATCTCTTCTCCTCAATCTATACCTAAATCATATAATTTCAACAATAAAGAAGTGTTGATCTGCTATTAAGTGCTATCAGCAATAACCCATGAAGCCCATAGTTGCCAGTTTCATCAGATGCAAAAGACAATATACAACAAATCTCCTGGCGTTCAGTATATTAAAGAATCCTTTTTTTTTCTCCAAGGGTTGGTAAGCTGTAGTAGACACATAAGGGGGTGAGGGGGTGGTAGAAAAGTGTCCAAGTATATAGTATATACAAATTCAGATTGCTTAGCGCTCCGATGCAAAATGTAACTTTCATTTTTTAGCACAACAAGAATTAAACCTTAATCAACCCAGCCACTCAAGCCTAACCCAGGCGCATATAGTTCTTCCCCCGCCCCCTACTCCCCTATAAAGTGCATAATGAAATGCAGTTTGGTGTAGTTGAGAGATATTCAGAATAGCTTAAAAGCTAAATCCATAAAAAAACTAAATGCAAAATTTTCAATGGAATTAATCCAAAATTCAAATAATAGTGTTGAGAAAGATTTGCAAAACTTGAATTAGAAAGACAAGTAAAAAAATAAATAAAAAAATCAGTAATACCTGCTGCTTAAATAGTTTCACGCAAGCTCTGTTTCTTATATCAGGCATATCGCTCAAAACACCTAACTTCATATCAGGCATGTACCTACATCAATTACTAAACAACATCAGCATAACCACAAGCATCTCATACGCCAAACACAATAAAACAACTTGTGAATATATTCGAAAAAAGAAGAAGACGCTAAAGCAGGAATGCTTAAGCTGGAACAAACACACGATAAATTCCATTGCAATTGCATAACATCCAAATTATAAATGTTCACTTCATTGCTCTCTTGTTAGTTTTGAATACGAAACCCGCGACAGAAAAAGAAGGACGGAACTTAATGGATTAATACCTTTGGGAAATATGAGAGTTGACAAGAGCAGTTGCATGAGATCTTCCGGCGGAAAAAATAGAGGACCATTTATCCCTGTACGACGCCAATTGTGACCACTGGTTCCTCAGATTCCGCTGCGCAGCTTGCCTCCATAGCCTGAGAACCGATGACGGCAGTGGAGAAGAACTTTGAGGCTTAGAATCACTGATTCTCGAAGGAGACGATGTCGCTGAGTTTAGGGTTTCCATTGTTGAGTTGAGTTGAGCATCGATGAACTCGCTTTGCCGTTAGAGAGTGCATGTACAGAACAAGAAGAGCCTTTCCATCAGGGATGCACGATAATGAAATGAGTATTATACCCCACTCTTACTCGCAAAACTTCCATTGAGCAGCTTTGCTATTTTTATTTTTATTTTTCACGGGAATTGAACACACACCACTACACTACAAACACCTAACACACCCCACACCACTAGGCTAATCCTAGTGGATAGCTTTGCTATTTTTTAGGTGAAGAATATTGTGACAACTTACTATTAATCAAGTGACTACCAATTAATCTTATCATTAGATCGATTATATTGATCTAATGATTATATTTATTTCCATATTTGTATGGTCATGATTATTTAAATTCAATACTTTATATTTATTTTCACCTTTGTATGGTTATGATTTCTCATATTTAGTACTTTCACTTTAAATATGGGGAATCATGACCATACAAAGATGGAAATAAATATAATCGTTGGATCAATATAATCGATCTAACGTTGAGATTAATTAATAGTCACTTGGTAGTAACACAACTTGATTGTCACAATATTCTTCCTCTCTTTTTTAACTTTATTTTATGGAAAAAGTATCTAATTTTACTTAAATTTTCATTGTCTGATGTTCATTAGAATGACACGGCGTTTTGAGATTAAAAAAATTAAAAAATTGAATTGATAAAGATTATTATAACTCTACAATAAATTAAAATTATAAATATATCATGATTTTCGCCCCTAAATAATATCGTTTCGATGAATATTAGATAAAACTATTTAATGTAACTTTAAAAAAATGAATTCTTATTTTATTTACACAAAATGGGTTGGTCCATCAGTGATTGGCTAGATTCCTGAATGTATTCTTGCCAAATTGCCTATGAAGTGAGAAATGTTCGAATGCTAAAGGCACTCATTTGGGGAGCACTTTACAATAAATAACCTCCAGGCCTGGAATGGTTGTACACTTTGTTACCATTTTGTATCAAAAAAAAATTATTTTATTTTATTAATTTTTTCTCCAATTTGATTTAATTGGGTTACAATTTATACTTTTCTATTTTCTTTCTAATAATCCATCTAACAGTGAAATAAATTTATAATAATATTAGTAATAACACTAGTTAGTAGTAAGAATGAGATAAATGTGATAGGGAAAAAATATCCCAACTCCCCCCCCCCCCAACTAGTCTAGACTTTCTATTATTAAGTGTATCCTGAACTTCCATAGATTCACTTTTGGCAGATGAGAAAGAATTTTGTATTTTCTGGTAATCAATTGCTTACTAATGAGAAAAGACGGAAAAAGTTTATCGACACTGCTACTATATCTTTTCATTGCAATTTAAACATAGAAAGCACTCTAGTGCGAAAGGGATGTTCCGTCCATCATCCCTTGTCTCTGTTAGTTATTTTAAATCCAGAAGTTATTCAAGTTGAATTGATGTGTTGTTGTCACTCACACGTTTGGAGAAAGAAACTAGGTTCCTCACCGACTAGAAATAAGAGAATATAAACATGGTGGCATCTTAAGGACTTTCCTTCTCCTCTGATAGGATGTGTAAACCTTATTCTTAAGAATGAGATTAATGTTTCTCCACCCAAATTATGTGTGCAATAAATCTCTCATAATTTTTCTTCTTCTTTTTTCGTTTCCGATTTGTATCCGAATTTTTTTTCTATCAATTAGGGGGTGTTTGCTTCAGGAGTTTTGAAAATTTTTCGGATTCCGACTTTAACTGATCTCCACGTTTGGTTCACGGATCTCATAATTTTTACCCATGAATGAAAGTTGCCTAGCTTTCTTGAATTGCATGTTAAAAAATCGACAAAGCACGGTTCCTGAATGCAACTTGGAAGGTGGTATTTTTCTGAAAACCGAATAAGTTAATAATGTGGTACAAAACGGTGACAATATTACCCCTAACTTTGGATTGTAAAGTATTATTTTTAAAAGGATAATTTTGTAATTTCAATAATTTTTCCCATCAATATTTTATTTTCAACCAAACACACATTCAAGAATTTTACTAAATTTTCCTGGTGAAATTTTGCCTAACCCAACAACTTTTTTAAAACTTTCCTATCTAACTCACTTTCCATGCAGATCCTTAGTAATTACATTTTCCTAGTAAAAAAAAATTCTCCTGAACCAAACACCCCCTTAGAGTGCAGATATTTGAACTTTCGAGACTGGGATATGAATTATGTATTGTATCTATTGTGTGTTGGTGGGTTCCCCATTGTTGGTGTTTTATCCTTACCATTTTTCATTTAATTTTCTTCTATTTAACGTTCTTTATATTTCTTTTTGTCTCTCACTGATAAATTGGAAACAAATTTCATTTTTTTTAGTGTTCTTACTATTTTCTGGAATTAATTCATAACAACTAAAGTTTGGCCCCTTTATTGGTTTGTGATAAAATAAATCTCTCTTGTTCATACTTCGTATTTAGATGATGACTCTTGTTGGCTCATACTTCGCATTGCTGAGTTATTGTGTTTATCTTTTGCTTAGTAGTTTATGTTTCAGCCTATGAATAATTGTTGCTAGTGTTTTCTAAATTCTATTTATATTTTCTTGTAAAACAAATGACTTATAACAAGTTGACTCTTCAGGGGCAGATTAGCTAGCCAATCGACACATTGATTAGCTTCTCTATAGATATGTTGAAATTGAACCCTCCAATCCTTAGAAAGCCAAGCTCGTATACGCGTCACCAAATGAGACTCACGAGCAGCATCACCAGCTTTGGTGAGCACCGCTATTGCATTACTAGAATAACTTTCAACAATTATTTTCCTCCACACTTTAGTCCAAGCCATTTCCATCCCTTTTAGAATGCCCCATAATTCTGCCACCAGAGCAGAACATAAACCAATCTTATACGTAAATCCTCCCATCCAGTGGCCAAACTGATTTCTTACTATACCCCCACATGCAGCTAAACTCGGATTTCTCTTGACGCTCCATCAATATTTATCTTTATCCAATCATTCTCTCGTGGATTCCATGAAATAGCTACCTCAGAAATGCTACTCCTCGGAACAGATCCACTCTGAAGCCGAAATGCTTCATTCACCTGTGATGCGGATGAAATAATAACAGCAACCTTATTCATCCTAATATCAATAGTTTGATCATAAACATACGCATTACGCCAGTTCCAGACTTATGAACATGTCACGAAAAAAATTGTTATCCAAGGGATATCCTTTAACTGGAACTACTCCCTCGACAAATTTCTTGAAAGCCATGAACTTAAATCTTCCCTATAAAAATCCCCATCTATACTCACAGGTAGCAACTCATCCCACAATCTTTTTACATAATCACAGTCTCTTATCGCATGAAGCACCGTCTCATCAAACTCATGGCAAATTGGGCACACGGGACTCGAAATCCCCCAAGTCGCAGTGAAGTTTTTTGTTGGAAGACGATGATGCAATACCTTCCACATGAACAGTTTTATACATTGTGGACCTTTCCATTTCCATAAAATCTTCCATTCTTTCACTTGCTGAATTGAGGACTAATTCATATCATCCAAATAATCATATATTGCTTTCGTAGTGACACATTTTCCACTTTTTAGGGCCCAAATCTTTCTATCAGAGCCATCTTGGGGGTCTGGAGGGAGGAAGCTCTGAATGCTTAACAATACCGACTCTGGTAGCCAATGTTTTAATGTTTCTACATCCTAGTTTCCTTCTCTGTTGACATATTATGACATTTTTTTCTTCTGAACTTCCGTATTTGGTACCATATGTGTAGCTACCTCAAAAAGGTTATGATCATCGTTTTGCCATTTATCTTGCCAAAATCTTTTTTGATTTCAATCTCCAACTTTCCAAGCACTACAACCTTCTAGGCTTTTCCACATTCTACAAATATTCACTCAAAGGCGAGAGTCTCCCTTTTTATTAACAAAAAGTTCATAATCTCGCCTTTTGTTGCATCATTCAGCTAGAAATGCATCATTCATCAACAAAAGTTTTTTTTTATGCCAAGATGCGAAATTTTGGGCCCATCTTCCCCCACTTGGATTGGTTTCCATAATCCCCCATTAACAGCTGTATCTATAATATGTGTCAATTTCTCCATACCCGTCACAAAGAGGTATGTGGAGAGGAGATCACCCTGACATAATCCCCTAGATGGCTTGAAATCATTTATTTTCTGACCATTCCATAATACGTTGATGGTAGGAGTGTTCACTGCTTCCATTATAAGAGTAATCATATGACTTGGAAGACTTATTTCTTCTGCAACATTATGGATGAAATTCCAATTTAGCTTGTCGTAGGCTTTCTCCAGATCTACGTTAATTGCCATGAATGCTTTCCTTCCTCTTATTTTATGCATAGTATGGATCAACTTTTGTACCGCTATTATATTATCTTGAATATGTCTCCAAGGAACAAAACTAGCTTGTACTGGAGAAATAAGCTTGACCATAATTGGCTTGAGTCTCTGGACTAAAATTTTAGAAACAAGTTTATATATAACCGAGCAGAGAGAGATTGGTCTGAATTGAGTGATACTTGTGGGGGACTTGACTTTCGGGACCAGTACTAGAAGAGTGGAGTTAACCTTCTCCAATATGGATGACTATTAGTATTGCATTTAATTGCTAGGAGCCGCTCCTTGTCTGTGCCTCTTTGCACCGCGATCACTCCCCGCCCTTGTCAGCCACCGGGATGTTATATATATGCCTTGTAGCAGTGTTAATATTTTTTATGGTATTTTTATTTTAAATTAAATGGATGAAAATTGATGATCCTTTTTACTAAAAAAATTGATGATCCTAAAAGCGAAAAAATTACTTTAAGTTAATTGCAATATTTTTTATGAAATGAACTAATTTTAAAAATAGACAATTTCAAAAAAAAATGTTAAAAAATTATTGACTGAATATATATTTAATTATGATATGCTTCTTATTGGGCTTTTTGACCCTTGTAATGCGAACAAACATGCACATGATAGTACGCATCTTAACGTGTATGGGTGAGGGTCACGGCCTATATGGCGATGATA